AGCAACTTCCTAGTCTGTGACTTCCTGTTACTTATGGCAATAAAAATGATTCTGATTCTGAGCTTGAGAATATTTACCTTGGGATTTCATATTTTAGAATAATTGGTAGAAAAAAAGAGAATATATGGATAATGTATAATGGAAATACAAAGGAGCTTGAGTCGTGAAACACCTACAAACAACAAATAATTGTCTCGCAGCTTTAAAAGAACTCAAAATAGTTAAATAATGATTTCCATACTTTAATCTGATGTTATACCAGTATCTATACCTTTGCTCTTCCCTAAAACACTTTTGAACAAGTATTGACTCAATATCAAACACATATTTCCCAAAACAATGCAATAAGTCAGATGTTAAAAATAAAGATTTTAATTTGTTGCCCGTGTGGGTACAGTGATTTCTGTATCGTGCAGAATGTTATCTTTTTTTTTGTTTGACTCAAAATAAAGTACTCAATCAATCAATAATGCATGTTAAAAAAAAAAACATATCCCATGATAATATGTTATCATTTATAATTCCTCTGTGCATTCTAAAGTGTTGTTCCAGTAGAACATAAAGGTTTCCATGGTAACTTTTTCTTACCATGCTGGTTGCCAGGGTTACTAAAGCAAAGGGCACAGACATCACGACCATCTCCACCGACTCCCGAGGTCTCTGCACCCCCACCGCCTCAAAAGAACTCCACACCTCCACGATTCAAGAAGAACTCAACACCTCCAAGGTTCCAAAAGAACTCAACACCTCCACGGCTCCGAAAGAGCTCAACGCCTCCACCCCCAGCATCATCAGCAGCTGCCACATCTTCATCAGCGCCATCAGCATATACAGCACCACCAGCAGCAGTGGATACAGCCGCAGCAGTGGCTGCTCCATCATCTTCAGCAGCAGCAGTGGCTGCTCCATCATCTTCAGCAGCAGCAGTGGCTGCTCCATCATCTTCAGCAGCACCTTCCCCACCTACAGCTCCCGTGAAGCTTCCCCCACTGCTCCAGGCTACAGTCAGGCCTGTACTGGGGGTTCCTCAACCACCTCTGTCTCCACCAAAGACTCCCTCATCACCTTCCATGGACCCGGCTTGGGTCCCCCCCGCTACATCCACTCCATCTAGGGAAAATGAGGACAACCTTTCCCTTTGTTTTCTATCCCCGCCTTCACTACTGGAATTACCGGAACACTCTGCAGGCATGATAAGATCGGCGATGAAGACTATTCCTCTCACACCCACTGTAGCCAGATCAAGAGTCCTATCTAACATTCAAAACTACTCCCCATACGTACCTCCAAAGCCACCTAGAGCGTCCAACTCAAATTCTCCCACAAAATCCACCCGTCCCTCCTCTAACCCCATAAGTATTCCACCCCCCCCTCCTGCTCATTTAGCCCACCTCCCCCCTAACCCAGCACCAAGAAACCCTCCACCTCCACTCCCCCCTCGTCCACCACCCAACTCAGCCTGCCCCTCCCCTAACCCATCACCAAAAACCCATCCACCTTCAACCCCCCCCCCGTCCAACTCCCAAGAACCACCTGCCTCTCCATCCTCTTCCCCCACCTTCCCCTTCCCCTCTTTTCTCTAAACACTAGGATGCACAGGGTCTCTGCTTCGCAGCCACTGGCAGTCTAGTTAGAGGAGAGACCCGGCTGGGGCCCTGTCATGACGCCACCTGTGCCATTCCCTTAGTGATAACACAAAGAATACATTACAGAAAAACATCTGGAGTTAATCAGTCTAATCTGGAAAATCTAATTCTTGTTCCGTGTAAGAATCAGCCGACCACAACCGCTGATACTGAAACTTTGAAACTTGCTATGCTAAATGTCAGATCTCTTTGTAACAAGTCTTTTTTAATCAATAATTTTATTTGTTCTTATAATCTAGATCTTATGTTCATGGCTGAAACATGGCTTGACCAAAATACAGAAAATGCAGTTTTAATAGAAGCATCACCACCAAATTTCAAATTTGAATCTGAAATACGGGGAAACAAAAAAGGAGGAGGCTTGGCTGCCATTTTTAGAGACCACTTTGTCTCCCATAGAATGTCTCTTGGGAAGTTTCCGTCTTTTGAATATGTGTCTTTTAAAATACAACAAAAACAATCTAGTCCAATACTCTTCATTGTCCTATACAAGCCACCGCAGTCATGTCACAGATTTATTGATAATTTTACGGAGTTGCTTTCAGTTTTATGCACAGATTTTGATAGCTTAGTTATTACAGGGGATTTTAATATTCATGTGGATAATGTTATTGACAGAAAGGCAAAAGAGCTGAGTTTCTGTTCTTGAATCTTTTGGTCTCACTCAGCATGTGAGTGGCCCCACCCACAGCAGAGGGCACACTCTAGACCTGTTAGTTACTAAGGGGGTGAATATTTCAAATGTAAACGTGGTCGATGTTGCGCTTTCGGATCATTTTTGTGTATTTTTTGACATGTGTTTCACTAACAAACCACCAGTGGACTCTGCAACTGTACGAAGAAGACACATAAATGAAAATACGGGTGAACTATTTATGGGAATGATAAACTTTGAGAATGCATCGTATTCTACTGTAGATGAACTGTTTAACTCTGTCACCTCTAGTGTTTTGAATGTTCTGGACACCATCGCTCCTGTGAAGGTTAGAACAGTGAAAAATAAGCAGAAGGCGCCGTGGGCTAAAGCAGACTCGGTCAGGGCACAAAAGAGAGAGTGCCGGAGGGCCGAGCGGAAGTGGCGCAAGTCCAACCTCCAGGTTGATTACGACATCTTCAAAGATAAGTTGTGCGAGTTTAACCAGGTGCTACGTAGTACGAGAGAAAGGTATTTTTCTGAAATGATTGAAGGCTGCAGCAACAATCTGCGTGTTCTGTTTTCAACAGTTAATAGATTAACAAACCCCCCTGTTCAGATGCCATTAGAGCTAACTTCCAAACGTAAATGTAATGAGTTTGCACATTTTTTCAATGACAAGGTTCAAGGCATCAAAAACGCCATTGTCTCCAATCCACAGATAACCATCCAACAGCCTAAAAGGCTCTTTGAGCTAACTTACTTTGCACCTGTAAATGATCAAACTGTCCAAGAGATAATCTCCAGTCTGAGCGCCTCCACATGTAGCCTGGATGTACTACCCACTAGATTTCTAAAGTCTGTTCTGAGCAGTCTGTTACCTTCACTCACACAGATAGTAAACATGTCCCTTCATTCTGGAATATTCCCAAAGGCCCTGAAAACTGCAGTCATCAGGCCCCTGCTTAAAAAGAGCAGTCTGGATGCTACGGTACTTAACAACTACCGTCCCATCTCAAATCTGCCATTTATGGGGAAAGTCCTTGAAAAAGTTGTCTACCAACAGCTAAATAGATTTCTTATAATCAACAACTCATTTGATATGTTTCAGTCCGGCTTTAGACCCCACCACAGCACTGAGACTGCTCTCGTCAAGGTTACAAACGATATCCGGCTAAACACTGACGCAGGCAAAGTCTCAATCCTAATCCTGTTAGATCTGAGTGCTGCCTTTGACACTGTCGACCATGAGATCCTCTTACAGAGACTAGAGGACTGGGTTGGCGTCGCTGGCACCGCCCTAAGTTGGTTTAGGTCTTACCTTGAAGACAGGAAGTACTTTGTGGAGATTGGAAACTGTGTCTCAGATCATATGGCCCTGACCTGTGGAGTACCACAGGGGTCGATCCTGGGACCTCTTCTTTTCAATCTCTACATGCTGCCGTTAGGTCAGTTAATACGCAGAAACAAAGTTTCCTATCATAACTATGCAGACGACACTCATATCTATGTCTCACTGACTGCAGGAGAACATGGACCAGTGGACTCACTCCTTCACTGTATCCAACAGATCAGTGAGTGGATGCAAAACAACTTCCTTCAGCTAAACGCAGACAAAACTGAAATGATTGTCTTTGGTTCCCAGAAACAAAGAGAGAGCGTCATCTGTCATCTACAGTCTCTCTTCCTAAAACCTTCAAACAAGGTCAGAAATCTAGGGGTAATACTGGACTCAGACTTAAATTTTAATAGCCACATCAAATCAGTAACATCAGCAGCTTTTTACCATCTAAAAAACATTTCCAGGATCAAAAACATAGTGTCTAAAGCAGACTTGGAGATTCTTATCCATGCATTTGTCTCCAGTAGGTTAGACTACTGCAATGGCCTGCTCACAGGTCTGTCCAAACAGGCTGTAAAACAGCTGCAGTACATTCAAAATGCAGCAGCTCGAGTCCTGACTAGAACCAGGAAGTACGACCATATTAGTCCGGTCCTCAGGTCTCTGCACTGGCTTCCTGTGGCTCAGAGAATAGACTTTAAAACAGCTTTGCTTGTGTACAAGTCTCTCCATGGCCTCGCACCAAAATATATTAGTGACATGTTAGTCCCATAGGAACCAGCCCGGACTCTGAGGAGCACAGGGACTGGACTCCTGTTAGTGCCCAGAGTCAGAACTAAACATGGGGAGGCTGCTTTTCAGATTCATGCTGCTAAAATCTGGAACATTCTTCCTGAGGATGTGAGACAGGCCTCCTCTCTGACTATGTTTAAAACCAAGTTAAAAACTGTGCTGTTTAGCTGTGCATACAACTGAGGGATTTTATATTTTTATCTTTCTTTTTAATGTTCTGTGATTATTTATGATTTTACTGCTATCTTGTTCAGCACTTTGAGTTGCCTTGTGTATGAATTGTGCTATACAAATAAACTTGCCTTGCCTTGCCTTGCCTTGCCTTGCCTTGCCTACTATAGTGACACGTCACCAGGCGATGACATCACCATGTTCTGAAGCCCTGAAGATTTAGCTTAAAGGGTCAGTTCAGTGGTTGGAACGAGGCAAACGCAGAAGTCAGTTTGGAGGATAAAGATTCTACAGTTAGATACTAGAAAGATAGATACTAGATACTAAATATATCGACAATACAAACGATATTAGCATCATGCAATCTGAGGAGTGTGCAGACCAGGATGACATTACTCCCAATGAAAGACAATCTATGCAACTTTTCATCGCAGATCTGTTTTGTGATCTGCTGGAAGATTCGTTCTTGAGGGAACAGCGTAGACAAGAGAGGCAGCTTTGTGAACTGTATAAACATGTGGCCGCAATCCAAAGCGAGGCCTCCACCTGTGAGGTTCAAACTCAAACTGATGTCGAGGTGGAAGAGCCTCAGATAGACGTGCACGAAGAATGCAAGAGTGTGGCTAGGTCCATGCACGCCAACGAGGTCGCTTTGAGAGCCGAGCTGGAGCAAGCTCGCAAAGACTTAGCGGTGAAAGAGGAGGAAAGGAAGGAGGCGGTGGAACTGCAACTTTCACATGAGAATGTCTTGATTAATCAACATGAGGCGTTACAGCTTGTTAACCAGAGTTTAGAAGAACTGATGGACGCTAACAAAAGTCTAGAGGAACAGCTCAGAGAGAGGTCGTGCCAACGTAAGACAATTGAGGTCCTGGAACGTAAAGTGGAAGACTTTGAAGACAACAAAGACAAAATCTTTAGGTTGGCCCGAATTTGTAAAGGTCTCGAAAAGGATCTGGAAAAAGCCAAAGCAAACTCGCTTAAGAATGAGTTTGAATGTAAGGAGGCTTGTGAAAAACTAAACAAACAACTTTGTGAAAGGGAGAAAGACAAAGAGAAAATACAACTGCTTGAACGCCGCCTGAAGGGTTCAGAGGAAATGGAAGAGGAATACTTGTGTTTAGTCAAATACTGCAAAAGTGTAGAAAGTGACCTTGAAGAAGCCAAAACCTGGATTGAAAATACGTTTGGTTGTAAGGGGTTTTGTGAGGACATGGATACAATGCCACAAGAGACAAGCTCAGAGGAACTAAGGGAGGACTTCAGCTCCGTTCAGGAACCAGAAACGATAATTGAGCCTTCTTCAAATGAGAGTCAACAAGAGGTGGCAAGCTTGGAAGAACTATGCAAAGATTATAGCTTAGTTCAGGAACCAGAAGTTGTTTTTGAGTCTGGTTCCAATGACATTCAACAAGAGGTGACGAGCTTGGAGGAAATAAGGGAGGACTTTGGCTCAGTTCAGGAACCGGAAGCTGTAATGGAGTCAGCTTCAAATGAGAGTCAACAAGAGGTGCCAAGCTTGGAAGAACTATGCAAAGATTCTAGCTTAGTTCAGGAACCAGAAGCTGTCATTGAGCATGGTTCTAATGAGATTCATCCAGAGGTGCAGCAACAACCGTCTGATGCACAAACAGAACAAAAAGGCGTTACATTAGCAGCCTTTTGTGAGAATCGGCCGACGAGTACAGACTTGCCCAGACAAAACGATTCACTGAATGAAATGAAGTAGCCAAGGAGAAATGTGAAGAATTTGACACAATTCTTTAGTCATGTATTTAAAGACAAATCTAGCCAAGAAGAAAAAAGCGGCCCTGTAAAACCGGCAAAGAACGTCGCTGCTTTAATGAAAACGTTCGCTGAGTAAGAAAAGGTCCCAGACTCAGAGCAGGGGAGGTTGGGAGGCGTAGGCGACTGGCTGCAGTGTAAGCGTTTGACGAGGTGTAGACAGCCGAATGGACTTTTTCCAGTTTGTTTGGTTGTTTTTGGTTTCATGTTTTGAGGTGGATGGTCCAAAATCTTCTTGTCTGCATACATGTGTTGAGTTTGGTTTGGGATGTTCTAGTCCCAGACAGAACCGTACCATGAGCACGACGAGGAGGTGAAAGATAATCAGCCTGAAAATAGACTTTACCTCCAGCTTGAATGAGTACAAAAACAGCAGTCCTCCGCACGTTACCGACTTCCTACTGTCTGCATCTGAGACTCCGGCAATCTGAACCTGCATAAACAAAAAACAATAAAAAATACAAAAATAATAAATACATTCATTTAACCCTTTGATGCACAACATGGGTCAAAAGTGACCCGACTGAGTTTCTATGTTCTTTATCTTTGCAATGGATTAATTTCATCTTTTAGTATTCCAGGTATTCCTCAATTAACTTGTTTTTTATCTTTAAACATCCTCATTTTATTATTTGTTTTCTTACTTTTTGAATTAAAATGATTTTTGTATCACTACCCCTCTAATGCACAACATGGGTCAAAAATGACCCACATCCATTTTCAATGTAAATTCATGTATGGCTGAGTGTTGCTTTGCTACACCTTTGTAACATATAAATATTATCATTTATTACTCCATGTATACAGTAAATAACATGTTTTTATTCATAAAAATTATTATTTTTTATGTTTCCTTTCTTACTCTATGAACAAGCTCAACATTTGTATTCCTACATCAACTTCACACACATGCATTCACTGTGGCATTCAGTAAGAAGCTTTGAATTTGAGCACGTTTGCTTAGGAATATTTTGACAGCGGACAAGTCAATTGCAGAAGACAGTTCATCTATGGTGACATTCCAGGGCAGGTGCAAGTTGAAGCAGTACGTATATGCCCAACAAGCCTGTGAAGTACGGAATAAAAATCTTCTGGATGTGCGATGCAAGACTCCATTATGCAATAGATGGAATTGTCTACACAGGAAGACAGCCAGGAGAGGAGGGGCAGAAGAACCTTGGGAAGAACATTGTTCTAAAATTGTGCAGCGGAATCAGACACAGGTGATTATAGAATATGGATATTGAAGCTTTACATAATGTATAAGTTATAGCACACTGCTTTCCACACCCTCTCATAGGTCGCAACATCACAATGGACAACTTCTTCACCAGTGTCCCCCTGGCTGAGAAGCTCCTCGCCAGAACAAGCCAGACATACCACCTATCATAAAGCCATCCAAGTCAAGGGTGATTCATAACAAAGAATTCAGATTCAATGGCAACATGACCATGGTCAGCTATGTGCAGAAGAAGGCAAAGGCTGTTATCCTCCTGAGCACAATGCATGATAACAGAAGTGGATGAAGACAGCCAGAAGAAGAAATCAGAAGTTATACAGTAGGACAACAGAACAAAAGGATGAGTGGACACAATGGAGAATATGGAGGTGGCCTATGGTGCTCTGGTACATTATGCTAGATATTGCCACTCTCAATGCTTACATCAACTTCACTGCAGAACACACTAGTTACATGGGTGAGGTCACCAATGCACACCGGCTATTCATCTAGGAGCTGGGCAAAGAGCTTGTCGCATGGAGGACACACCCACACTCCAAAAGCATATCATAGAGGCAATGGAAAGATGTGTGATCGAAAAACAAAACACAGCCACCACCTAGCCACAAGAGGACATGAGACAGGAGTGCCCAGCGAAAGAGGAAGAGGTGTGCAATCTACCCATCTGACAAAGACAGAAAAGCCAGCAGCTGGTGTTCCCAGTGCAAGAGGCCTGTGTGCTATGAGCACAATTGTGTAGTGGTCACTTTTTCTATATTTGAGGAATCTTGAGGACTGAATTGACAAGTTGTGCTCTACCGGAGTGATCAGTTATATTTTATTTTATTTTGTTCAATGCACCAGTTTATTTGTTGTTATTTTTTGTCGGATGTAATTGTATGTGTTCCAAAATGAAAAATAAACATGTTTCAAAGGTGAAATGTATGATTGTTTGGCCCAAATCCCATCTAAAATAAATATTTGAAGAAAAATAGTATTATTATATGCCTTCATTTTTGTTTTAAATCGCAATTGAATAAATGGGTCATATTTGACCCATGTGTGTTATCTTGATATAGTAATACAAAAATGAATTTTGTTTTCAAAAAGTAAGGCAGGAAAAATATGAATACTGATGTTTGGTAATCAAAGACAAGATATTTAAAGAATACTTGGATTATTGAATTATAAAATACATTGATTTAAAAAGAAACAGCAAAGAAACGCTCAGCCTGCATGAGATAACCTGGGAAATGAATGCGGGTCATTTTAGACCTATGTTGTGCATTAATAGGGGTGTGCGTATGTTGTGCATCAAAGGGTTAAAAATTAAAGTAGGAAAAAAATCATAATATAAAAAATAATAATAATAAATATAAAAAAATGAATAATGATAACGGATACAAAATAAATGATAATAATAATAATAATACATAAACAATAGAACACAAATTATAATAAATAAACAAATAAATAATAATAATGATATTAAATAAAATAATAATTTTTAAAAAGTCTTGTGTTTGCTTGTTATTATTGCATTCCCTGTGTTTGAACTTTTCTATTCTCAATTCTTCTTTTGTTCAGGAATAGACACCTTTCGAGATGACAGCTGTTTTGATTTAGGACTTTACAACATACCATTTTACATCTATGACCCTCACTAGAGTTTCTTCTCTCAGCAAGCTACTTGAGTTAGTTTACAACCGAGCAGTGACACCTAGTGGTTAAAAAGCACATGACAAGAAGGAGTTCACGTCTAAATGTTTATTAAAATCATTCACCAAAGGGTTAGAGTCAACAGCACATGACCTTTTTCTTTCAGTAGATTACATTGAAAAAAAGAGTAAAAAGACAATATGGAAGAACATGATTTTACATTCATTATGACGACTAAAATCAGATTGGTGAGCTGGTAAAACATCATGATTTCTTCTTTCTCCTAACGGTGCAAACAACTTGATAAGTGGTACCTCAAAAATTCCTCCAAACACATGGCTCTTTTCATACAAGTTTTAAAATATTTTTCTTCAACCGCTTCAGAAAGTGCAAGTGCATGGTCTATACGTAGTGGTTATGATTGTGGTCTTTATGGTTATACCAATATGGCTTTACTTGATGGCATTAGACTACAAATGTTTCACCAATCAGGAGATGGCAACTGATTAAATAAATATTAAAATGACTAGTTCTGATAATCACACAGGGCAGTCACTTCAAATGTATAATAACTCATTAAAAACGATATCTATCCATCTATTTCCTGTGTTTTAGAGGGAGGTCTCAATTTTACAATCAGTGAAATTCATAATGATAAAAAAGTAGAATAATCTCTGTCAATTTTGTAGCACAAATGGGAAGTATACCATAACTGCAGTTCAGTGAAAAGTGAACAGTGCGAAAAGTGACCAGTGCGGTAGAGTTCTCTGCAGTAATGGGTTATTTCAAATCATGCTACAGCTTTAAGATCATATAATAAACAATTCAGAATTTAAAGATCAATTGACACACTATTCTGCGTCTCTCCATAATACATCTTTTGTGTGTCCATTTTAAAAAGCAAAGAATTATACAGGATAAAGGAGGTTTGATGCCTTGTGTGACAGTAATATTTTGTTTCTTGTTTTGTTCCACACTTTCAGTTGCCTTTTGTATAAACTGTCCTATACAATAAACTTGCCTTGCCTTAAAGCTGAGGCAAGCTAGCTTTAGCTTTGGTTTAAGTCTATATATTAAATATCACAGCAATATAACTACACTGCGCAGCAACCACTCATAAAACAAAGAAGAAGTTGGAATAAAGTAGATGGACTTTTGATTGACAATTAGCTTTAGCATAGAGTACCATGTTTTAGCTCATCACATAATGTCCAAAATGCTGTAAACTTATGGAGACCTCGCTGATGGTAGCCTGCGCTCAGTCGAACAGGTCCGGGTGGTGGTCCTGACTGTATGCGACAAAGTCAAAGTCGTCCACGGGAAACGGAACGTCCTTCCACTTCTTCACTGTGATCTGTCCCTCCGGAGTCAGCAGTGCGAAGTTGGAGATTTTAAGGGTCCCCAAGATGGCTACTTCTTTGTATTTCATCTCAAACCCCCAGTCCTTAAAGACACACAAGTTACAGAATATCGTTGAGGCACACGGATCGATCCAAAAAATAATACCTTTTTAACATACAGAAACAAATTGAATGAGAAAGCTAGTCTGATGTCTTTCTGTGCCACGATGTATTCTTTGTTGGTCGTTGTTTTGTCCTGAATTGGTTTATGAAGCGTAAGGATTCAGATGATGTACCTTTTTGATCTTGATTACTTCTGTGTCTAGATTATTAGTAACTATTTATCATTTATTAAGTGATCCCAAATAAAATAATCATAAGCTGACCAGAAGCTGATATAGCTGTAAAATAGAAGTAGTTGAAGTAATCATACCTTGTTGCAGTTGCCGTTGTTGCAGATGATCTTATATCCAGGCTCCCAGTCTTCAAAATCTCTCGGAATGTCAACCATCCCTCCCACTTTGTACTCATGTCTACAACGCGAAACACACTCATTCATCATGTACAAATTAATGTACAAAGTCATTTTAAAACAGTTACAAATTGTTTAAAAAACCTGATGAGGTCAAAGATGATATTTTGCAGAACTTTTGACCAAAGCAGCTCTTACTTGAACAGTGGGTTGATGTTGACGTAGTGCGCCCCCTCCACCAGCCTCACATGGTTCCCGTGGGCCACAGACTTCATGCAGTTTCGGCAAACGAGCTGAACGTCTGCGGCGCTGAAGCGGTGTCTCCTCGCATGGTTCCTTTGCTCTGATATTCGCCGGCGAATCTGTTCTTCCCTCTGTATCTTTCCTATCTAAAAACAGTAAAGTCAGCAACAAATATTAATGACACAGAGAATGTCTCTTGTCCATAAATACTTCATCATAGTGAATTCGACAGTGGCGACAGCAGTTCAGTTGGTAGAGCATTGGCCTTTGGGCCTGAAGGTTGTGGGTTTGATCCCCCCACGAGACCTACTCCAACTGCTCCCATTAATGTCTGCTGTCGTTGTGTCCTTGGGCAAGACACTTAACGCCACATTGCCTGAAGTCCCTGCTGAAAGAACAAGGCTGTGTCTCCGCTGACGTAGCAGCCATCTTCCCGTGGACCCCTGCAGGAGGATCAGCGAGGGACTTGTGCTATGAGCATTAGGTGGCAGCTCTCATTGTCATCCCCTGACCCAGATATGGACTAATAATGGGGTTGAAAATGAATGGATGAATGAATGAAAAGTGAATTCATTCAGTATGATGAAGTATCCATCCCATGTTCTGCCTCCAGAGTGACAAGAGAAACCTCTGTACCCAGATCAACAGCTCTTCACCCTCAGTGTAATCAGTGATGCCAATTGTCAAAGCACTGCTCCCAAGAAAGACCCTGGGACCAGTACCAGAGACACTGACCAGTTACAAGCGCTGGATCCACACTGAAGGTGTAGAAGACTGTCTGGTCTCACTCTCTTACCTGTAGACTGAAGTCAGAGCGGCTCATCTCCTGCACTTTGGCCACAGCCTTCTTGGTGAGCTCCTCCAGATGTTCATTGAGGTGTTCTCTGCGCAGCTCTCGGCTTCCTCTCTGAGCCACCACCGAGTACACGCTGTTCTGAGCACGAGCCCGGCCACTCGCTTGCAGCTGCGCAATGTCATTGGTCAGCAGTCCGTAGCGCACCACAACATTGCATTCTGGGATATCGAGACCCTCCTCAGCGACGGTCGTAGAGATGATGAGGTTGAGGTGATTAGTGCGGAATTCACGGATGATATCTTTCTGTTCCTTCTGTAACGCAAATAAATGTCATTATTTGTTATCTTTAAAAATAATAATCATAAGGAACAGTGTCTGAAGAGCTCTCAAACTGGTCACAAAGGTAACTGGATTTGGGATTGTCATTTTTGAGCTTGGTCATTGGGTCAATATTGGTCCATACCTGTGTCATGTGACTTTTGCCGCTTCCAGCTCCCGTCAGTTTGGCCGCTTTGATACCCGCCGCCTGCAGGAATTCATTACCCAGAATCCACTCGTGCAGACAATTGACACCTCTTCTGGTTTTAGTGAAGAGGATTCCCTTCGAACCCTTATCGGCTGTAAACTGGTTCTGAAGAGTGGTCTCCAGTTTGGCCATTTTGGGATTCTCACAACTGGGATCTTTGGCCAGGACACTCAGCTCTACCTTGTTCTCTGTGGAATTTAAGGACATTTATAAACATTTATGGACATTGGTCATTTGCCACTTATGAACCAATTGCTCAGGAAGTCAGGAAGCTCCAACCTGTATTTCAGGAGCTACCAATTTAATTCAACTTAATTTATTCTTGTAAATCCCTAAATCACAACAGTAGTTGTCTCGGAGGACTTTACACATTATTAACACATGATTCCATGATTATCCACTGTTGAGTCATTTCATTTCTATATTCACTGTACACGTTTTCCTCATGTGCACTTGCAGGGATATACATAAATAATGATGGTGTGTTTTGAATACAAATGCGAAATGTAGTTTGCTGTAGTTATTGCTTGAAACTACATTTTTAAAATTTCATTAAAAAGGAAAACATCTCTGCCATAAGTATATGAGCAAGAGAAAGGTGTTTTGAACTTGATTCTCTGATCTGTGTTGGCGAACTCTGTCGACAACTTTGTAAAGACCGGCGAGATAACCATGTTGGAACACACATTATTGAATTATTTGTTGTCAAAAATTACAATTTACATCCAAGAGTTTGGATAATACCGTCAAAAAGTCCAACCAAGTAGAAATCGGTGGCATCCATGGCTGAACTGCTGCTGTAGAAGTTGTCCAGGGAGTTGTAGGCGTCGATCATCCGTAGAGTGTCGCTGATGAGGAGAGCGTCGTTGTATTCTCGGAGATGCAGAGCGCACTGGGCCATCACTCTGTTTTTTTCACTCATCCCTGAAACCAGACGACCACAGTAAACATGCAGATCTAGAGGAGTATCGTACGATTGTCGTGCAGGATCTGTTGCTGTTGTATTGAGTTGATTACAGGTGGTTATTATCGCCAAAAAACATTATTACCCCTAGTCTATGCTTAGCACTAAAAGTCCCAGGGTTTTTAGTCCGCAATTTAGAGGAGGAGAAGCTAACTTGCCTAAACTTGACTACAGCGATGAATTGAAAACTATTGGTTTTATAGTGAATGACTATTCAGCAGTGATTTGTATGTTTCATTTTGACTGACAAGACAGAAGCAAATGATTGTTATAAAACAGCAGAGAATTGTATGAAAGTAAATGATACATGTTCAAAAGCATTTGTAATTTGTTCATAGTAATGAGAAATTTCTATGATGATGTGCACAAATTACTTAGTGTTGTGGGGGAACTAATCAGATCCTCCCCCCCTCCCGAAGATGGCAAAGTAAAGTGGTTTAGCCACTTCAGCGAAGCCTGTGATAATGACCTTATTTACATAACAAAGTTAGTCATTCACAGGTGATTTAGTTTGTTAGCTAAAATCCTTGGAGTCATTTGGCACCGCGGTGGGCTTTTTCTCCACGGGACTTCTAGCGTTAGCCCATAGACTGTAAATATTAACGGACATAGTCACACTTATCTCTACTGTTAAAACTAATGTGCCAACACTTTTGCATTCTATGGGGCTTTTTCAAGAAACAAATTTGCCATGTGTTAGCCGGCACTAGCCCCTTTAATTTAACAAGTGCTTTCGGAAGTCCACAGCGGCTAAACTAGACTGGTCCAAAAAATATTCTCCCTTTGGCATTGACAGCATCTGGAACATACGTAGCTTTGGGCCAAGAGCCACTTTTTGACCATCCTGTCAAGCCGTTTTCGATGCCATACAAAAGTATTGGGTAATTATCTTTCCGGGTACACCCCCACCGACAAGTATGTCAATGCACATGCTCATGGATGTTTCTGAGCCGGGCCCCGCCCCACTGGCTTAGCCACGAGGACGACAAAGAACTATAGCTACTGCTGTTGTGTTGTTGCTGCGCTCTCACCTCTCTGCTCGAGGAGGACCACGTCTTGTTCGTACTCCTGCGTGCCGCACTCCCGTAGCCGGACGTCCCGCGGCAGCTCCATGAACTCATGGATCTGAGACATCATCCACTTTATGTGATCGCCAAAAGGATCCTGATTCAAGGACAGAAATGGTCTCACTTTAAAGGGAATCACAACTGAGTATTATCTTATATGGATAGCATTTAGAATATTCCAAAGAAGCATTCTTTTTTATACCTTTGGTCTTTTTTCGGTGATGTCAAACTCTTTGCGAGGCCGCGGCACAATTTCCTGCAGTTCTTGACGGTAGTTTTGAGTAGAGACAATGGCTGAATCCATGTTCGCACAAATCTAAGACAAGACAGAACATTTCAGAACTGATCTGTAATGTGTAAAACACAGTGAAGGTAGAGCATAGACAGATAACGAGAGATAGTTTGTCACGTGTGTACTCAAACAACATGAGTACAACATCAGATAACCGCAGGTATACATTACATGCACCGTGGTGATTAATTCAGAGGAATCTCTCTCAAGTCTATCTCTGTCTCTGGTCTTTGTCTCCGGTTTTTCTCTCTGGTCTCTCTCGGATCTCTCTCTTGGGTCTCTCTCTCTGGCCTCTACACCGTAGTTCAGAGGACTTCTGGGGTCTTCCTGTTGCCCTGAGTCCTCCTGTATTTTACAGTGTATGCACAGCTTTTGACAGCAGCAGCAGCGCTCAGACCTACAACTTGAAAGTTTGATGTCTGTGACTCTATTGCTTTAAGTAGATATAGTGACTAAAAAAGAGAGGAAACTATTAAAGCAGACCTGTCCAAACTCAGGCCCGCGGATCATTTATGGCTCTCTGTGCCATTTTAGGTGGCCCTCTGCTGCAAAAACAAAGTCGCCATTGAGGCACTTTGAAAGTGTCATCCAACCAACTTCAGCTCCACCATATAGTCCTGCTATACCTTGTTAATCTCAGACCCTCTGTAATCCAGTTGTTGACTCTATTGTCATTCATTTGTGTTATGATTGTGTTCCAAACATTCCAAGTAAAATGCTGTTGGGTGTGAATCAATAAGGACGTATCATTACCCCGTGTGACCCCGAAGCTAGAAGAGTGGTTACAGCGGATCCCCGGAACAACCTCGGACATCTCGGTCCAGAAATGTGCAGTGCTAGGAACAGCAAAGATACTGCGCAGAACCCTCAAGCTCCCAGGCCTCTGGTAGAGGACCCGAACTTAGAGAGGGATAACCGCCCGCGGAGGGCCAAAGGTGAGTGGACAATTTTTATATATTTGTCTTTCTGTCGTGTCCCATGTAAAATTGAAGATTTTACATTGACGATGGTAGCCTTGCTGATGATCTCGTGTCAATACAAATACTATTATTATTATTATCTAGATCATATTTCCCACGGTGATTTCGGCTGGAAAGAGAAAACAGTCTGGAGATGATCACGATTTCCTAGCAACATCGAATTCTGGTTTAGTGAACAATCAATTTGGCAAAAGGCTCTATCAGCGCAAAATACATAGCGGTCAACTGACCGCAGGGGGCGGTGCAAGGTATGTTTAGAGCACGGCGGTCCTAGTGTTAATAATTACTACTAAAGCAAACATTTAAAGCATAGACAGTTACCGTGAGAACGTGCTCTATCGCCCCCGGCAGGTCTTTCTTGCCCCCGGTCCCTGGAGAGGCGGTGAGGCCCAGCACCTGAGGCAGAGGGCCCTCGTTCTTCTGCTTCTTCTCCACGTATCGCCGCATGATTTTACTGTACGTTGTGTCTTTGTGGGTGTGGTGGCACTCGTCGATGATCAGCAACGTGATGTCTGGAATGTAAACAAAGAAGTATATATAAGTACAGTATGGGTGACATCATTTCTCACTTCCAGGTTCAGAGTAATGCGGCCTAACTCTCTCAACAAGTTAAGGCAAGGGAACCTAACTTTCATGAATACAGTCTGAACAGAAATAGTCCTGTTGTGTTCAATCTGGAGAGACTACAGGAGACAAGATGATGTTATTATGTTATTTTCATTTTACACACTGAGAGCTGATTGGCTGATGCTGTTTTTTGATTGACTGCGGAACCTTCCGCAGTCAACCATTGGTTTTGTATTTCTTTATTCCGTCATTTTTTTTGACACGTTTCACAGCTTTCACATTTTCAACAATTTCCACAAGTTATACATCAAAACATTCCACATGTTTGGGAGATTATTGCTATTACTTTTGGGACTTCAGCGATTTCCGGTTTTTCCGCAATCGGACAAAAATCTGCATTGAGAATTCTGCAATGCATTTTAATAGGCCCATGCATTTTAATAGGACTTCAGCTCTTTCAGACATTTCTACAGTTTCAATGATTCAACAGTTTCAAGGATTCAACAGTTTCAAGGATTTCAGCAGTTTCAAGATTTCAAGAGTTTCAAGGACTTCAACAGTTTCAAGGACTTCAGCAGTTTCAAGGACTTCAGCAGTTTCAAGGACTTCAGCAGTTTCAAGGACTTCAGTGTAATCATGCAACCTAATAGGGATTTTTCCATGTAAACCAGTATAATGCAACTTAATAGGGATTTTTCCATGTAAACCAGTATAATGCAACTTAATAGGGTTTTTTCATGTAAACCAGTATAATGCAACTTAATAGGGGTTTTTTCCATGTAAACCAGTATAATGCAACTTAATAGGGGTTTTTACATGTAAACCAGTATAATGCAACTTAATAGGGTTTTTTCCATGTAAACCAGTATAATGCAACTTAATAGGGTTTTTTCCATGTAAACCAGTACAATGCAACTTAATAGGGATTTTTCCATGTAAACCAGTATAATGCAACTTAATGGGGATTTTTCCATGTAAACCAGTATAATGCAACTTAATGGGGATTTTTCCATGTAAACCAGTATTATGCAACTTAATAGGGATTTTTCCATGTAAACCAGTATAATGCAACTTAATAGGGATTTTTCCATGTAAACCAGTATAATGCAACTTAATGGGGATTTTTCCATGTAAACCAGTATTATGCAACTTAATAGGGGTTTTTACATGTAAACCAGTATAATGGAACTTAATAGGGGTTTTTACATGTAAACCAGTATAATGCAACTTAATAGGGATTTTTACATGTAAACCAGTATAATGCAACTTAATAGGGATTTTTCCATGTAAACCAGTATAATGCAACTTAATAGGGTTTTTTACATGTAAACCAGTATAATGCAACTTAATAGGGATTTTTCCATGTAAACCAGTATAATGCAACTTAATAGGGTTTTTTACATGTAAACCAGTATAATGCAACTTAATAGGGGTTTTTACATGTAAACCAGTATAATGGAACTTAATAGGGGTTTTTACATGAAAACCAGTATAAAGGATAACAGTTTAAAGGATATCAGGAGCTTCAAATACTTCAGGAGTTTCAAAGATGTTTAAAGTATTTTAACAGTTTCAAGGATTTCAAGGATTTTTCAGCTAAATTCCACATTAGATCTGTTCCGCAGTCAATCGCAATGGCTTCAGCCATTGCAACGGTTTCTAGTTATTGTTGTTATTTACTGTTTTTTGAATGCATTGATAGGCAGTTTACTGTATGAAAACAACGAGCTATGGATCCTGTGCCTTCATGAGTCCTTAATAAAGTCTAAATAAATAAAATAAAATATATCTGCTATATAAATAACATGTCTACTTCTTCTTCTAAAGATGTAGAAGAAGTATTTTTTTTAAATTTATACATGGACGTTTTCGAACGTAATGGTTTCAAAGTAATAAATACTAAGGAAAGTTGTAGAAGTGGTAGTTATGTTGTAGAAGACGGATCAGGGCTGTGTTTTGCCTTTCAGAGTGAGTGTCCAGTTGTTCAATGCTGAAGCCAAGTGTTTTAATGCAAAACTAAGTGTGTTTTTTTGTCTCACTCATCTAAACGTCTGTATGATACTTGTGTACGTGTGTTAGTATTAGCAGCAGTATTGTTGGAGGGATACTCACCGGACAGCTCGGCGTGTCTGTCCTCCTCTGGGTCCATCATGGCGTTGTACAGCAGATCAGCCGTGCAGATCACCATCGCAGACTTCCTCAGGACTTTCCCAAAAAATCCCTTCTCCTCTGAGTCCCCAGTCACCGGCAGCACCTGGTACGTGGGCTCCAGGTACTTGGAGAATTCGTTCTGGTAGTGCTGGTCCACCAGGTGAACCTACGATACACACTGTTTACAAACCATAGAGACGGAACATCTGGGACATGTTAGAGCCATATGAACCAATAGGGACTCTGAGGAGCACAGGGACTGGCCTCCTGCTGGGTCTATGAGAGGCACAGGGACTGGCCTCATGCTGTGACTCTGAGGAGCACAGGGACTGGCCTCCTGCTGGGTCTATGAGAGGCACAGGGACTGGCCTCATGCTGTGACTCTGAGGAGCACAGGGACTGGCCTCATGCTGTGACTCTGAGGAGCACAGGGACTAGCCTCCTGCTGGGACTCTGGGGAGCACAGGGACTGGCCTCCTGCTGGGAATATGAGGAGCACAGGGACTGGCCTCATGCTGAGACTCAAAGGAACACAGAGACCAGCCCCCTGCTGGGACTCTGAGGAGCACAGAGACCGGCCTCCTGCTGGGACTCTAGGGAGCACAAGGACTGGCCTCCTGCTGGGACTAAGAGGAGCACAGGGACAGGCCTCATGCAGGTGCCCAGAGTCAGGACTAAACATGGGGAGGCAGCGTTTAAGGTTTATGCAGCTAGAATCTGGAACATTCTTCCTGAAAATCTGAGACAGGCTTCTACTTAGGTACCCCAGCTTTAAGTCTTATACAAATACGAAACTACTCGTTACACTTGTACTGTATATTCTCTGACATAGTGCTACTTCAAAACCACATTGGATTTTCGGCCTCTCTCATTACAAATCTGCTCATACGCTGCAGGTCTGTTGTGTGTTTTCTGACCATGTTGACGAGCACGACCACTTTGGCCTCGGGGGTGGTCTCCAGGTGGGTTTTGGCCACGTAGACGGCCGCCCGGGTCTTGCCTCCACCGGTCGGTAACCAGATGATGATGTTTTCTCCCTGAAGAGCTCTCTGCGCCACCTCCTCCTGGTACGGGTACAGCTGCAGGTCTGCCATACTGACACACACACACATACACAGACACACCCACACACAGACAGACACACACACACACACCCACACACACACACACAGACAGACACACACAGACACAAACAGACAGACAATCACAGACAGGCACACAGACACACACAGACAGACAGAGACACACACACACACAGACAGACACAGACACACACAGAGACACACAGAGACACACACAATCACACAGAGACACACACAATCACACACACACACACACACACACACAGACAGACAATCACAGACAGACACACACAGACACACACACACACACAGACAGACAAAGACAGACACAGACAGACACACACAGACAGACAGAGACACAGACACACGCACACACAATCACACACACACACACAGACACAGACAGACACACACACACACACACACCAATGTCATTTTGTATAGCCGTAAAGGTATATAGGAGGATTTGCTACTTCCGGGTAGATCATTAAAATTACTGGTCCTCCCAATTGTCAATCCAGCTTATTCCCCACCTTAATTCGCCTTTTAAACAGCTGATTTAACTGATACCTGTTTTATATATTCCCTATTGAATTTCTGCTCTCTTACTGTATTTATACAGTATTTAAATCTTGTGTTTCTGTGTCTTTATGTACCCCCACTGGTGCTCCGTCCGTAAAACATTGTTAATTAAATGTAAATGTAAATTAAGTTCCTCAAGGATGAATAAAGTTATTTTAATTGAATTGAATTGATTCATTCTGGTGATACGTGCTCGTCAAGTAAAACCAGAAAGTTATGTAGGCCGTTTCTTTCCTAAAGTTTGAGAAAATCCTTCTATACACCTTTTAATCACAACAGAAGACTTTCAAAAACAGATCAGAGAATCAAAAGGGGCAGATGACCAATGTCCATAAATGATTATAAATGTCCACACATGTCGTACTGTACATATTTCTTGCACTAAGAGTATTCAGTATTTTACACTTTGCTTCTTCATTAAGCTAAATATAGAGATAATACTTAGTGTATAGAGTTGTTCTAACCCTAATTATCACTTATCTTGTGCATTTATACTGTTCTGTAACATTTCTCAACAGTGGGAAGAATTAATATTCTCTTAATAATAAATACGTCCCATAAATTATTATTTGATTCCAGTTTATACGCTTGAAACAAATAAATTATAAATGAATGAGGAAAAAATAGGTCAGTGTTGAAATAGAAATAGACACATTTTGAATATATATATATTGCGGAGTGACTATACAGTATTCAGTTCAACACATACAGTTCGGGCTTTTATTACAAACATCACTTCCTCTTCACAGAAAAACAGACGACATTATAACATTTGTAAAGTGTTACTCACAATGTTGTTGACCAGAGAAGGTGTGGATGTGTCTGATGTGTCTGTGTCTCTCCTTCTGTCCGCTCTGAAGTCTGTGCGAGGTTTCTCATTTGTTTTATTCTCTTCTCAAATGCGTCTTTGGGGAAAACGAAAGTAAGAGCGCGAGGGGCCCGGCTGCGTAAGGGGAGGCGTGCGAGGGCCGACAGCAAGGCACAAAGTCAAGTGACGGGAATTTAAATAGTTACTGAAAAATAATAAGAATGAAATAGGAGTATAAAACAAAATATAAGGAATCGTTTTTAAATATATTTACAAAAAAAGTCCTACAACTATAGCCCACACTGCAAAAAAATACAACATGCTTGAATTTAGAGGGAGTTTTAACTTCATTTGAGTACATCCTGACTGTCTAAAAACAAGATTTGCCAATGGGACAAAGCCATTTAGCCTGATTTCATTGATTGTTTTTTTCTCATTCCAACGGAGACAATTCTTGTATCGGATTAAAATAGTGTACATTTGCAAATCTTGTTTTAAAGCAGCCAGATTGTGCTCAAATAAAGATAAATGTTGCCAAATTTAAGACATTTTGGACTTATTCTGTATCACTTTATGCATGTGTCCATCTGTGGAAGCGGATCCCTCTCTCATTGTGGGTCTTCCCAAGGTTTCTTACATTTCTTACTGGGTTTTTGAGTCGACAGAGATAATCCAGGACGTTAGGACCTTTGATGTGTTTGATATTATATTTCCTGTGTTCAAAATGTTTGATTCTATTCTCTGCGTTGGCATTTCAAAGTCCTCTGAGACAACATGCAGTATGATTCAAGGTTCTATATTGAATTGATTACGTGGTTATTTAGTTATCGAATGGAAAATGTGTCAATATATTGTAGCCATGCCTGGTTGACAAAAAACAGCTGGGATTTCTAACTTTAAAAGCACACAGACATATGAAATAAAATCCTTCAAACTAGTTCTTTGCCCTCTCTGGGAAATCTGGACGTCTCTGCTTAGACTCATGTCAAGTGTGAATACGTCCAAATCATTTCCCTTGTGGATCTGATAAACTTGCCTGAGTAAAGTCCAAACTATCAATACATTTCGGAAAATATCTACATTCTGGTGAAGGTGTATTATTGTCTCATAAGTGTGTCCTCTGCATTTGACCCATCCTTCAAAGACACTAGGGACTTTTGTGTTACCTGTTCTACTGACGTCCAATTATAACAATGAGAAAGCTATAATAAATAATATAATTAAACATAAGGTGAAGTTTTGAGTCAATTCTGCATTGATTTGCCCAATATGACAAAGACATAGAAGTCATTAAAAAGATCCAATGCCTCTGCTCAAGCCCCCCTCAAAGGGCCCCATGGCATTACGTCAGAGAATAGAAACTATACCTTTAACTTGCGTTTACAATTCTCATAAAAGTATAAGTCAAAATTCTCTTTCAATTTCTATTTAGGAAAACACCCACTTTACAAAAGACAGACGACTACAGGCATATGTATAAAAAACAAACAAAAACATCTTTATTTCATGAACTGTTTGACATTGAGTGAAACTAACTTAAAACACATCGTCTCATGAATGTGTTTGTTTGTAAAAAGATTTGACATTTGTGGGGAAAAAAATGCAGCCAGACCCTGTGACGAAGAATAACAGACATTACCGATACATGATTTTAAAAACGTGTTGTTGCTTGTGTGTTTACATAACGGGTGTACAAATGTTGAACTATGAAACAAAACCATAAATACTACTTCCCATTTCGTGGTCATGTGATGCTAACCGGTGATGCTAACAAGTGATGCTAACAAGTGATGCTAACAAGTGATGCTAACAGATGGTGCTAACAGGAGATGCTAACAGATGATGCTAACAAGTGATGCTAACAAGTGATGCTAACAGATGGTGCTAACAGGAGATGCTAACAGATGATGCTAACAAGAGATGCTAACAAGTGATGCTAACAAGTGATGCTAACAGATGATGCTAACAAGAGATGCTAACAAGTGATGCTAACAAGTGATGCTAACAGATGGTGCTAACAGGAGATGCTAATAGGTGATGCTAACAGATGGTGCTAACAAGAGATGCTAACAAGTGATGCTAACAAGTGATGCTAACAGATGGTGCTAACAGATGGTGCTAACAGATGGTGCTAACAGGAGATGCTAACAGGTGATGCTTACAGATGATGCTAACAAAACCTTGATTCAAACGTTACAGAGCAAACAAACCAAACCCTCAGGAGAGAATGACACTAATAAACACACACAGGACTTTTCTCATGTTTGTGGAGAGGTTATCGATTTGACAGAAGGAAGGCATCGTTACCCATTTTCATCTGTGTTTTAAAAGAAGAAATACAGCCTTTTTATTTCCACAATCCAATCCACACTGCAAAAAGTTAAAGCAAATAAGTCAAAAATCGCTCAAATTTGGCAAAGTGTATTTAATTAATAATTTGAGCACGTTTTGACTGCCTTCATTAAAATGAGATTTGCCAATGGGACAAACAGAATTAGAAGAACCATACAAGAAATATCTCCCTTGGAATGAGAAAATGAAGTAACAGTTGAAATGAGACTAAAATGGCTTATTTTAAGACAGACAGAATGTGCTAAATTTAAGAATTAAAAAAACACCAAATTCAAGCATTTATTACCTCATATTTTATCGTTCCTTGCAGAGTAAATACTTCAATACACTTAAGCCAATAGATGGGGTTAAAAAATTGCATGTTTTCCCTTAAAATCACAAGTTAATTTAAAAAATGTGTGATATTGTTATTAATTTTGCAAGTAACAACAAGACATATGACATTCTGGATAATTGAAGGCCAAATCATCATAAATTCAACAAATGTTTAGTATTTTCGTGTCAGAAAATTATTTTAAAGTACTTTAATTTCCATCTGTGACTGAGAAATACAGGTTTGACCATATTTGGGAACAATGACTCAAATACGTTTCTGTAGAGATTTTTTGAGAAGTTTCAAAATCTAAAAAAAAAGCAACAAAAAACCCACAAACTAGATTTATGTTTATTTTTTCTGGTCTCATTCCCATTTTTTCTTCTTGCATTTTGAGACTTTATTAACCTTGTTTACACATTTACCATTATTAAAACTGGATAAACAGTCCTTTCCTTGTTGTGAGAAGTCCAAAAGTATGAGTAAAGAATGTAGAGACAGTACGTTTGATTTCAGACAAGCTGCTCAAAAAAACACATCATAAAATCATCTCTTGTAAATACTTTTGAATAGTTTTCTGACTTTTCGGGTTTGTCTTTTTAACTCCAACATCACCCCTGTTGTGATGGCAAACAAATGCTTGAATCTCGTACTACAGGCGTCCTTATTGGAATCTTTTATGCCTCTGCTGCCCCCTGTGGACTCACCGGGGCACTGCATTGTTTGCAGGCAGCGGTAATGAGAGTAAATTATCAATCAACTCCAAAAGACAATAGCTCACAAATCTTTTTCATCTCAAGAATAAGTTGAGAATTCGATTTTTGTTTAGTTTTCAGACAAACAATTTAAATAAATATCAAAACACAAGGCAAAATTGCAGCTAATAACTTTTTTTTGTTGATTTTGAAGGATCTTTTGTCACACCTGAACTGAGCAGTCTTTTAGGTTTTCTGTACAAAGTATTATTCAAGACACAGACGTTCAAGTGTTGATCGGAAACAAAGGCAACATGGCTTAGGTCCCGAAGTGCGGTTACTCCAAACTACTTTTTTTCTTCTTTTTTTTTTTTTTAAAGAGACCGAACTGGAATGAAACTTATCCACTCACCGACTTCAGCACTGGCTTCTCTTGGACCTAGAACTTTGGTACATTTAACAAGACGATATTGGCAAATGTGGAGGGAAAAGGTAAAGCTTTTTTTATGTGACAAACTCGAAACAGAAACAAACAAATGCACGACACAGAGAAGGAGAAACATTACGAGCACTGGTTTGATAGTTCGTCTATTTAAAGCTCATTATTTTCTGGTGGAGGCCGTACATCAGCGGAAAGGTGGAACATTTTTATTTGAAGCTAAAAATACTAGTCACTTTTCAAAACTGCCTTACGCGTTATTACGTGGTCTAAAGCTCGGGAGCCACCGGTAGCTCGCCACAGGACTTAGAAAATGAACAAATCAAATAACATACTAATTATTTCAGATTGTATCATTCATCATTATGATCTGTTATTGTAAATGCACTTACTTTGTGCACTAGCAACAAATATGCCATGATAAATGATGACTGTACCTGATATTAGGCCCGTTCACACCGATACATCACCACATTTTTCCCAAAGAAGCATTAAGGAGTATCTCTCTGCCTTTATTATCCCGGGAAAGTAGCTCTCTGGGTGAAAAAGGTTGGAGACACCTGATCTAAAGTTACCAGTGGAAAAACGTTGTAAATATTACCACAGGATCACCGTCAGGATTTATTTTCAAAGTGATGCAACTGTGCTTTTGTATTATTCCTTTTTATCGAATCCTTGTGTAGCTTTGAGACACTAGATAATTTAGCTAGCATCACGCAACTCACGATGTGTTTTCTACATTTGGCAAGAACTGAAAATGGCCGTAATGCTATTCTTCACTGGTGCATTTGTTCCCGTCTGTTTTCTCTTAACTCCATCCCCTGCTTTTCACATCTGCAGCGCGGGTTGCCTCTTTCGCGCGGCTCCTCGGCCGGGTTCGAAATGGCCGCCGCGTGAGCCGTGAGCGCGCAGGGGTGAAGTCTGCGGCGCTCACTTCTCGATGAGGCCCCCGTCTTTGAGCTTGAAGTAGAAGAACTTCTCCAGCGTGTTGGCGCACTTGCAGTACTGGCTGTCGGGCGGGTTGTACTCGCGACAGTTCGTGATGATCCGCTGCAGGTCGGCGATGAAGAGCTTTTTCGTCACGTAGTATCGGTTCTTCAGGCGCTCCGTCATGGTCTTCAAGTCTGGCAGAACGCACAGATTTACAACATGTGAGTTCGAGGGTTTCTTTCTCGTTTTACTGAAATTGACCCACTGTGGGACGAATTAAGGGTCTCTTAATCTCTGTTTGCACCTTGAGCCTTTGTCACTTCCCGTTACTCACAATGGCAAAATAAAAACAATTCTGATTCTGATAGAAAAGCATACGATTAATTATGCATATGTGAATTATAACAACTTATGTGGCTTGGGGAACCTTGGTCTCTAAAATGCGCAATATAAATAAACATTACTTACTTACTAAATAAATATGTGTGAGATTATGTTACTGTCGGACGGTAGAGCGAAATGTACGTATTGATTTTATGGTTAGTGATGTCATATGAAGGAGAGGACGTCTGTGAGATATAAGTGTGAGGTATTGTTTATGTGAATGTATGATTGTTGTATTAAAGATGGTATTAAGAATATCTATATGCATTCATTTTCTTTTGCTTTATCCAGGGCCGGGTTGCAGATAATTCTGTCACTACACACAGTTTACAACAATATCAAATAGAATAGAGAAAAGATACTACCATTTCCATTACAAAAAACGGTTAAACAATTTCCCCACAGCATTCACATGAAGATTATGAGCTTTTAAATGTTTTGTTCAACAGTTTTTTTTTTACTTGCAGTTGTATTTTAGCTGAAATGGTTCCTTCAGTTTTAGATTCAACAGTGCAGGGATACCTTTGTGACTCACAGCGGTCGGACCGGTTTGACATATAATCCAAGGATGCAGAAAGTGTGGGCTTTGTTATAACTTACAAACTATTTTAAGCTCATATCTTTTAAACAAATAGTCAGTACTCTGTTTCATCTTCTGACGTGATTTTCAATAAACAGGTATTTAAATAAATTCTACAGGTTTGGTATTTAGGGGAGAATTCTAACTTTACATACTCATGCCCTGCTCAGGTGAAGACAAAGGTCAAATTGTTAAAAATGAAGGAAAAGCTGAAATATATGTTTGTGTTTTGTGTGAAGTCAGTTGTCCGACCCGTCAATTATACTAAATACATTTTGCAGAACGTACCGATGGGAAAGCGAATGATCTCGTAATAATCTGGAGCTTCTGACTTCTTCACTGGTTCCATGAAAGGCCAGGCGTCAGGGTGGGTCTGGAACACAACATCGGAGAATGAAAGAAACTGTAATGCACATACGTCTGTTATTATTACGTTGATAATCTATAGAACAGACACGAGCGTTTAGCACAGGGGTCGGCAACCCGCGGCTCCGGAGCCGCATGCGGCTCTTGAGTGCTCCTGGAGTGGCTCCTGGAGCCTTTTCAAAAATGTCTGAAAATGGAGTGTGAGGGCTATATTTTATTTCTAGTTTGAATGTGGTTTCTGTAGAAGGAAAAAACAATCTTTACGTTTTTAAATGCTGTAAAAATGTGTATAAGTAATATCTAATTTCAACATTTCTGTCAACGTAGTGCGTCATATCCTATGACGCGCGGTCACGCGGCCCCGCCCCATGCGGCCGCTGCTGTAAACAAACCGGCGTGTGTGCATCATAGACTGTAAGTGCACATGGATCCCAAAGCTAAAACGAGAAAGAGTCGATAACAAGACTGGACTAAGAATGAGAATGAACATTTTCTTTCAGTCAATGAGGAAGGACTGCTTCATGTTTGTAATGAAAAGTTTTGTTGCAACACGAGGAACAATGACGCGCAAAACGACGTAAACGGTGATTACGTGAAGGATTCATTCATCAAAAATTCAGAGCACCTATTTTCAGACTTCAAAACCTTCTCAAAGACGGTGAAAGAAAAGGCCATTAAGGATTTTAATTCAGCTCCAGCAAACTTCAGCCTGTGACGTGATGGATATGAGCAGACAGTGATGCAGGTGTGTGACCTCTGAGCCCAAAGCAGATTTATTTACTGTATTTCTATAATTGCATGAAGGCAAAAAAATGGAAGTTAAACTAAAGCAGAGTTGTCACGTGTTGCGTCATTCACGACACGCGTGGTGCGACACGCTGCAGTGAAAATACACATTTGATAATCATGAATGATTATTATGTATTTGTAGCCTTTACTTTGTCATTTAGATATTAGGCTAATATAGCTAATACATCTTGCAGCCTGTGTTACCTTCATAAAAGCCTTATACAAGGCTGTTATTTTTTTGCGGCTCCAGACAGATGTTTTTAGTTTTTTTGGCAATTATGGCTCTTTGAACATTTTGGGTTCCCGACCCCTGGTTTAGCACATTTGAAATCACTAGATTGGTCTGAAACACTATTGTACGCAAACCATGCATTCATCTTTGACCACTCTGGTATCAGTCTACATACACGTTATCCGATTGATCAAAGACGTCTCGTAACTTTTGGCCTTTCACTCAACTTTGGAACTAATGGACAAACAAAGTAAAAACCAGAAGGAGCAGATTTAACATAATCACTCAAACTGTCTCACCGCTTTGTTTTGAGCTTCGACAAGAGTGAACAAAGGAATCCCTAGAATGTATGAATGAAAATGGATTCCTGTTGATAAGCTTGAAATAAATAATTAAATAGATGAATGAATGAAGCTACTGTATAAGGAAGATGGTTTCACCTTGATCTGGGCCAGAAGGTTCTTTAACATGTTGTACAACACGTCAGGGTCCTTCACCTCTTTACTGCAACGACACAAGTCACCAGATACAGGTTTATATGTCATTTCCTCCTCCTATTATTGCTATTCCATTTTACAAAAAGAACCAGTCAATTAGCATTCTTTTGTCTCAGAGAGATTAAAAAAACATATTCATAATCACAGTATGTCAGGTAGAAATGCACTCTGCAAGTTAAAGCCATACTTTGGAATCTTGCAGTGAGAGAAAATTGTAGATTACATTCATATTAGATCATTTTTGGTTGGATCCACTGAGAAGGTGTTGGACGATACAATAAAACCTTTGACAATCAACTAAGAACTGCCAGAACACAAACAAAATCTTACCTTTTGTCTTTTCCGCTCGGTTTCCAGCCCGATTCTCCTGAAAGTGAAACATTCTCAGATGAGGCGTTTCCTTTACAGCTGCACATTTGCATTTCAGTAAATCTGTTTTTATGTCTTATTATGAGTGTGACAGTTTTCAGTTTCAGTGCAAACTATAAATGATATATAATAAATTACATCTGGTGCGCACACACACACACACACACACACACACACACACACACACACACACACACACACACACACACACACACACACACACACACACACACACACACACACACACACACACACACACACACACACACACACACACACACACACACACACACACACACAAAAAAACAAAAATCTAAAAAACAAAACATTAGAGGGAAAAATAGGACTGATAGTAAGTAGAACATGAATAATACCAATTGTAATCATAATTATAACCAATTACTTTAATAACTAGTTAATTAGTAAATGAATTTGAATGTGATTGTACAAGTGTCTGAACTCACGGATGCCCGGGATGCTCTCCACAGGGATCTGCCGCACTCCCTCTTTGAAGCAGGTGAGTCCAGGGTAAACTTTACGGATCTGACTCTGCTTCCTCTCGATCAGCTTCTTGATGATCTGGAAACATTGGGGAACGAAAACAATAATGTTGTGGTGTGATATTGTGGATGTGAACCACCAAAAACGATACAGCAATGTGACTATGAGCCCTAATTGGCACAAATCTCTAGAATAGTTTGAAATATTAAGTTCTGACTGTCAGCCCCCCGACCCAGAAATGGATTATGCTGAAGAATATGGATGAATTTGAAAGTTGTGCCATGGACCAGAGTCAGAGATATTATTATTCACTCTCATTGTCTGTCCATTTGTTGAGTTTTGTGGCTAGCATACAGATAGATCGAACAGACTAGCCCAGAATTATATTGTTAATTGCAATTATGTTAACCATGATAATTATGAGAGAACATTTCGAAATCCTCCCACGTCGACTGAGAAGAAATGGTCAGGATCACGCATTTTTGAACACATTCACAAAAAGACGGACGAATTCTAACAAAACGTTGATTTTGCAATATGTCGCTAATTTGTCTCATTAGTCGATTAAATTCCACATATAAATATTTGTAAAGCATCCGGGGTGTGGTGGAGTCGTGTGGCATTGAAGAATGGGGCAAAACAGAATGGGTCAACAGAAAAACAGTTTCTTGGCCAATTTTAGGAAGATTTTATTCAGAACCAGAATACAAAGAAATATTCGTTAATGTATATCAATAGTAGTAATATTAGCAGTAGTAATAATAATAACGACGAAGATGATATTTTACAGAAGTTGTCGCTCAAACTCACCTCCTTCTGCCTCTTGATGATGTGCGACAGCTCTGTGTAGGGGATGCGAGGGTTTAGCTCACACTCCATTAGCGTAGCGCCCTCGTAGTCTTTGATGTAACCCAGGTAACGGCTCTTGGGAACTTTGATGTCTTTGGAGAAGCCCTGGAAAGAAAAATATACATGATTGAGAAAACAGAGGAGACGAGCGGAGAGAACATGCAGAGGATGTTCTGTTCTACTCTACTCTACTCTACTCTACTCTACTCTACTCTACTCTACTCTACTCTACTCTACTCTACTCTACTCTACTCTACTCTACTCTACTCTACTCTACTCTACTCTACTCTACTCTACTCTTTACTCACTATACATTCCTGGGTGTGTTTCCTTTCCACTTTAGTATCTGGTACCATATCCTTGCTACCTCCCTACAACAGACCAGCATCCAGGGTAATTCCTCGGTAACCTTGGCTTCCAGCAGAACCCTCAGACTATATATATCCCCACCGCTGTCAGACGGTACAATAAGTCACTAATGCACTAGGACTGAAAAAGCTGCACTGCATGTAAATTTCTCCAGTGTGAGATCAATTAAGTCTATCTTATCTTATAGGCAATCAGTGTCAGTTAGGACCCTTCAGCACCAGCTCGGCCTGGATAGAACCAGGGCCAAGACCAATAGTTAAAATTTAACAGGACTGGTGGAAACACTTCCAATCGAAGCAGGGTAGAGCCGATAATAGTAGGGACAAGTAGGGCTGGTGGAACCAACCCTAGACCAACCCTACACAGAATAAAAAGTACTATGAGCACAACCCACCTGTTTTTTGAAGTATCCAATTGCGTACTCATCGGCGTAGGTGAGGAAGTAAAGGATGCTGTGTTTGATGTGGTATTCTTTGAGGTGATTCATCAGGTGAGTGCCATAGCCCTGAAATCATCACATACAAAAAGCAATAAAAACCAATGCATTCATCCATTTAGGCTGAATTGTTTGTAAAAACGCTGTGGACCTTGACTTGCTCGTTGGAGGTCACCGCACAGAAGACGATCTCTGTGAAGCCCTGAGTGGGAAACATCCGGAAACACACGCCTCCGATGACGCGGCCGTCTTTGATCAGGGCCAGCGTTTTGTGCTTCCTGATCGAGAGACGTGCAACATGTGGATGAGAGAAGATTTGAAGCTATAAAAGGTCAAAGCTCAACTTGTCCAGTTCTGATAAACGGTAAAGTGAAAAAGGGCAAACTCACGGGTCGAAAACCAGTCGTGTGATGTATTCTTTGGGCATCCGCGGGAGCTGGTGGGAGAAGACGTTCTGCAGCCCCACCAGCCACATCAGGATCTTCTTGTTGGACTTCTGCGACAGAGAGTTTCCGATCACATGGAACTCGATGATGCCTCTCCTCTCCTCCAGCCGTGCAGTCTCATCCCGGGCGGCGTTTGGGGTCAGAAGACTGGTCTGGACAAGCGAGCAACACAAGGAAGTAAACCTGGGTTAGGGGAACTAAGGGCACATGCATGTATTCTGTGGGCAATGGTCACCTCTGGTCCGAGCATGGCGGCTGGGTCAGTGATGGTCATCATGACCTCGTTCACCAGCTCCATGGGGATGTCTCCCATCACACGGATCCGTTTGGCGTCTTCCAGTGTTAGCACCTCCGGAAGTTTACGCTTCTCGCCTGTACAGGAAAACAAATAATTTTTAAAAAGCATCATACAACAAGGTCTGGCAGGTGTGTGGGGTTTGAAAAATGAATCCAGTGATCCAGACCTGTTATGGTCTCGGTAACTCCAGTCTCCAAACTGGTGAGCGAAGAGGCACTGCTCAGACCCTTCACGAGTCCAGGAGAGCCGGACGCCACAGAGGCACTGATCCCTGCGGACGACAAACCACAACAAACCACAACACTGGTGAATACACTTTGAAGACACACACTTCTGCAAGACAACAGTTTATGGACCCTTTTGTTTTGAGTTCCATTTGGGCTTCTTCTCTAGGGCTTGCTCACATGATGGTTAAGTTATATGTCATAAAGCACAAATGCGCACATTTTTTATTGTATTTTTTTTTTCAATGTAGAATGTTTTGCAGATTTTTTTATATTGTCCTTTTTACTAATGTGAGTGCATCCACGTGACCCTACATGCAGTGCTTAATTTGAGCCGGAACACGCCGGAACATGTTCCGGCATCTCTTCATTTGGATCTCACACTACTATTACTTATTGTGTCTCAGTGCAAATCACAGCTGAATGAAAACAACACAAAACAGCCTGAGTTAGAAGAACAACAAACAACTGGTGCAGCCACAAGATTTCAACTGTGCAAATGCCAACAACAAAACTAGATCCAACACAATCTGATACAACCACGTGGATGTAAAATGCCTCTTGTCTTTCACCAATGATTGTGTTCAGCTTAATGCTGCGAAGTTTACGCTGCAATCGCAAAGGCTCATGGGAGATAAAGTTGATGTGAACCATGAGTGAGGCGTATATCCTCATACATCCCAAAAGTACTGTATTGTTCCAATTTCAAATTCACTGCCTGTGTTTGAAGTTAACGCAGACTACACTTCCCAGATCAAATCATCTGCTGCATTCTGGCTCCTCCCACTCGACAGATGAAGCTCTGCACTACATGCCCCACTCCCAGAGCCTTTCAGATAACTGTGAACCCACGACCTTCTTGTCATAGACATTGTATGCTTCAATAATCAAATGTTTTGTTTGTTGGTTGTTAACATATTCAGCATAATTATATAATTCCTATAATATATCATTTAAACTTCACCCGTTTGCCCGAGCTGAGCCCCGTCTGAAGCCGGCATGATGAAATCCGCTTCCCAGATCGGTGAATTCTCTCCATATATTTCCTCTTCGAGCATCGACAAAAACCTGGACCAAACATGAAACGGATGTCACAAATCAATCACAGACAGAATCACAGACAGAACACATTGGTATATATAAAAAAAACAAGATACTGACTTGGGGAAGTGAGTGAGGATCAGTGTGCGTTTCTCCGGCAGAAGTTTGTCCTTCTCCACACGGAACTTCTCCAGCAGCTGTCGCCTCGTCACCGTGAAGATGGACTTGAGCAAACTGCGGCCAAAAACCTGCGTGGTTTCGAAGCGCGGTAAGCTGTCGTTGCTCTGCGGCACGTGGCAGTAACAGAGCCACCTGCCAGAGAAAACACAGGAATTACAACCACGCTTATCAATACCAAAAGTCAACATGCAGAGTCCTTCGTCGCTAAAAATCCTCACGTCATTCTCAAAATTGTATTATTATTTTTTCTAAACCCTGACAGAGCGCTTTTGATTATCTTTTCAATTATCTTTGCTTTGGCCGACTTGTTTGGCCTTGGGAAAAAATACGAAATTAAAGGTCACAAAAGAATATTTATACCAAGCAAAAAGGTGCAGATAAACAAGATCGACCAAATAGATAATGATACAGAAATGAATTAGTAATGGCAATATTTTTCTCATTTCATTTTTCTCTCAGTTCAGAGAGACACTTTCAACTTTGTGAGGTTGTCAACTGATTATTTATATCAATAACATAAAAACTGAAAAATACTTAATACAAATTCAGCCAAAAGAGTCTGACGTATGACGGCTCATAAATTAGATTAAAACGTTCCTCTCTCTGCATCCTCCCTCCCTCTCTCTGTCTCTTCTCTCTCCCTCCTCTGCCCTTTCACCCCTCCCTCTTTCCACCACTCCCCAGCCTGGGTAAAAAGGCAATCTGTGGCTTTGTTCCACAGCTTTGATTCTTTCATTACTTTGATCCAAAAAAAAAAAAAACACAGACACTTGTTTGCCTCAGATTACTATACATTCTAGTGCAAGAAATATATATGTGTATATGTACATATATGTGGATAAATCTTGTTAAACAACCAAGAGTGCAAGAATACTGAGGTAGTAAGTGACTAGCAAATGTTCACAATGATGATACTACTGTGCATGCTAGCATCATGAGGCTCTGGGCTAATAGTGACAGTGGGTTAAACTGTAAATATTATCAAACTGTTATTATCCATTTGCAAATAGTGAGAGGGGCGGGCTCTAGTGAAAGTCTTTCGCATAAACCTTTAAAACCATGCATTGTGATCATATGTCATAGTCCAAACTGACCGGGTGTAGTCCACTTTGTAGGCCGTAGCATCTTCCTTCTGGGTGCGCTGGCGATACTGAGTGGGCGTCTCCAGTTTCCAATAGTTTAGGCACAAGAGGAACATTTTCGAAAGCTCGAACATGGTCTGCCTCTCCTTTGGCGCCAGATGGCTGAATTTATACTGCACAAAATTCAACACTCCCTTTGGATGACAAGCAAATGGGGGATTAAGTTACATAAATGTGAAAAACAGGCGTGTTGTAATCATTTTCTGCACATCTTGAATGACAAAATTATGATTTTGACCTCAATAAAAAAATCTTTGATAAAAAACATTCCAATTTTAGATTTAATTAAATGCAATGGCAGGTGGGGGACCAAGCTTATCACTCCCATAGATAATGCATTATATTCGTTCCAACAGAAAGAGGTATTAAGTCTAATTTTGAGAGAACAAATGGAACCAGTTCATTGTGTCTGAAAGCCTATTGGAAAACATTGTATCAATTTTTTTTTTGTATTGCCGTTGTAATTAACAAGTCACAAACTATGAATTCAATTTGGCTCAAGATGCAAACAAGAAAAAAAAATATATGGCATGCATAACATTTCTACTATATACAAGTGCACACTAAGTACACACAATAGACATTGAGAGTGAATGGATGGTGTTGGTTGGAGCTGATGCACCAGTGTGTTCGGCGACTCGCTTCCGTCATCACCGTGTGTGGAATGATTGGAACAATATCTGAACTCTGAACATCGTAAAGCGCTTTGGGTGACCTTGGTCTGTAAAATGCGCTATACAAAATAAACATTACTTACTTACGTTACTTACATTCAACAGTGCAGAATAAAGTGACAGTAGTAAAATGCTAAGGGAATATTATATTATATTATGTTTTATATTATATATATATTATATAATATTATATGGAATTCATTGTTTTAATGTTTGGGTTTTGTAAGTTAACGATCCCAGCTTTAATGAATGTATGATGAAACTACTCTTGAAAAGGGTACCATTTAAGCATTAAGAGAAATTGTGCAAAATTAATAGAAAAAAAATCATTCCATAGGTTATAAGTGAGCTATAAACATTCACCAACACATTGCAAATTGCACTTGCTTAAAAACATATTTACCTGTTCAATATTTGGCTTCTCAAAGGGCGGGCTTCCTAATGATCCCTCTACAACCGGCTGACTCATCTGGAGAATGCATTTTCTCAACAACTGGAATAGGTGCACAAGGGGAATCATTATTGACAAGATACCCTACACCCAAATATGAAAGACTTATTAAAATAGCCCCAGATGACAGAACAGGAGCAGCTCCTACCTTGAAAAGATAAAAATAGACTTGTTTGGTATCAGTGTCCTCCTCTTTGTGCACTGACATAAATAGGTTCTCCACATCCACCACCATTCCCAGGAGTCTGTTGATTTCATCTTCGGATACATTCTCCAAGTGGGAAACATGGTCTGCTGCAGAAGAAAAACAATATTTAAATCCATACGTGATGCAAGTGTCTGATCATTACATTGAGGTGTAGGGGTGTGGGGTGTGGGTAGGGGGGTGTTTAGAGGCTGGTTTTGTACCCAGGGCATGTCCACAGCTGCGGCAGGGCTCGCTCAGGCTGGCCGCTTGCTGCTGGAGGTCCATACGAGTGGCTGTAGGTGGATTGGGGTTTTTCCATCCATTGCATTTGCACGTATCGTTAGCCTAAAATCACAAACACGCAGCTGTCATGCACAACAAATCCATGCAAGTCAATAATGCAGCAACATTTTGATTTATTGCAGTGATGTGTTAAATACAGAAGGCATTAAAAACCGCTTCATGTAGGGATTCGGCGTGGGTTTGCTTGAGACGTTGCGTACTTTTAGATAGCAATACAGGTGGAATTGTGAATTGAGTTGTGTACTGCAATGTAGACACACACACTGAGCGCAATCACAAACGCCAACTCTATAGTGCTTTGTTGTGATGAACTTTGGTAGGCTAACGCTAATGCTAACAGCTGGGTGTGATAAGAGCTAGAGCGCGAGCGGATAATGTTAATGCGGCGGCCATCTTGTGTATGTGAGATTAGTGAGTAGTAGGCAATAAAGTGGAAAATACAGCCATAAAATTACGGACATATGTTATACTTTTATAATAACATACTTAGAGACCGTTGTAGGGAACTAGTCAGTCTCCTCCATAGTGTTGTGTGCATAAAAAACACTATCAATATAACCAGACAAACATTAGGGAAGAGATGATTTGTTGAATTGATGGAATTATTTAATGACACAATCAATTAGTTTCAAAATGTCAATATATGTTAGGCTGTTGCACATCCACTGTACAGAAGTGTCAAGACCAAGGAGTTTGAAATATAATATTATTTGTTTAAAAAATGAATTGTGTTTCTGCCACAACAATGTAAATGAATAAGTGATCAAAGGCAATTATGTATAGAATACCTGATTACTGTAATAAGGGATACCTGGAGCCCTGATCCTTTAAGCACTGAAATATTTCCACTGTTCTGCTGTATTCAATAACTGTACAGTAACATAGTTTGAGACTAATGTATTACTCATCACCTAAATCATGCATAACGCTATGTTGTTCTTTTTTTCTGACAATATCCATACACATGTACCTGATTTTGATTTAAAATAATAAACCATGCAGCGGTTCTAATGTATTTTATAATGAATAGTGAATTCCTGAGAGGATCTGATTGTTGACAAGTGCTGGTTACCATAGCAACGCTCCCTCTTTTTACCGCAAAGGGGATTATAAATGTCTTTTTTTAAACTTTCAATAAAACCAATTAAAACAAATCTACTTAACAAAATATTACCAGAGCGTGAACGATAACAAATAAAAAGCCGATGGTGCGTACGTGTTTGTTGTGTTTTTAAAAGTCATCCCTCTAGCTCCCTCTAGCTTCATCATGGCTAACGCTAACTCACCTTACACGCCGAAAACACGCCGAGTTTCTCCAGCTTCTTCGCCCGGGGAAAGGCTCGCACTTGGGCTTTCTTTTGGCTCGCCCGCTGCTGCTGGCTGAGGCCGGGTCTGGCTGGATCGCTGCTCCCGGAGGAGGTGGATCCCGAGGGGGTCTGCTGGCTCTGAGCAGCCGGGTGGTGGTGGAGGAGCCGCGGTTGCATGGCCTGGGTGGCTGGGTCCGACATGTCCACGCTGTGCCCGGCTCGGCTGCTGTGAGAGGGGTGTGGAGACAGGAGCTCCGCCTGCTGCTGGAAGACAACACACTGAATACATTCAAAATAAAATGATAAACGGTCATTATTTATTATATACTATGCCTTTTAATGTTATTGTTTGCTACTTTTAGAATGATATTTAGTCTTAATTTGTTTTGTTTGTATGGACGGATGCGTTTCTGCTGATACTGAACACCTGCCTTTTATCTATTAAATGTACATATACGTTAAATGCAATTATTACAAATTCTAAATAAAACAGCACATAATGATGGTAAAACACATTTTGAAAAAATCATTATGATAAATAGTAATTATAATAATGCATTGTATTGTATAAAAAATATATTTCACGCTTGCCATTCGTTGTCAATATATATTGGAACTGATAATAGAAGCTAATTAGACTGAATAATTTACTTTCTCTGAAAGCATGGATCTATGTTTCGCAGGTAGAGCGCTCTCTTGTGGCGGTGACAAAATACTACAACAAAGGGTGGTGTGGACTCTGCAATTTATCATTTATAAATCAAATTTAAATTATTGTTACAAATATTAAGATAACTTTGGATGGCCCGTCTGGTTTTATTTCAGTAGTGCGTCACACAACCTCACTTCTGGTACCAAATATGTTCATATGGACAATGCAAACTAATGAATAAACTGTACATCACATGAGAAATAGAACTGAAGAACTGAACCAGACCGAGGGCACATTCACATAAGTGTTTGAGACAGGTTACTAAGGAATTTCCTCTGGTTTGTTGCGAGAATGGTAAAAAATAATGGAAACAACCAGGTAGAGTGGAGCAGACTACAGCTGGACAAAGTAGAACCAGTGGAAACAGGGCTTTAATATTCCCAGTCATCAGAAAATGTCTTGCTTTAGCTTTGAAGACAGCGAAAGATCAAAGAAACACACCATACAAACTTTACCATCTCCTAGCTTTTTTATTGGTAAAATTACATCTTTCTTTGTTTTTTCAGCCCATGACGCCACCCTCCCTCTGTATCCCGCTCCAACAGCAGTGGGTGCTGCGCGGGTGCCATGGGGAGACCAGTCCCTCCCTCCAGAGTACAAATGTGAGAATAGAAAAAGAAAAAATAACCAAAGGAGGCTGCGGACAACATCTCAATCCACAAAATATGATGAGACAGAACCAGTGCATTTAATACCATAGAGATCTTCAAAAGAAATTAATAAAAAAGAATCCATCACGAAATTATTGACAAATGACATGACGATTTGGGAATCCTTTCGACGACAAGAACTACTGATTAATAATAATAATAATAATAAAGTCCAATACAAACACAGCGATGTTTTCAATATTGTGATTTTGGTCAAGAAAACTACGTCTTGCTGCATTTTTTTCTTTTCTGTTTTTTCTTCTTATTGTACAACGATGAGTCAAAAACTTTACATTAATGCTAAAAATTACGGTGGACAGTGGACTACAGACGGCATGGTAAGAACTCATAGTTAGCTTGTGTTGATAGTGACAATCTACACAGCTGTGTTGGGAGACACACCGCATCTGGCTTGAAAAAAAAAGCCGTGGGTGTAACTCCTTAGCTTGCCGGAAAAGTTACAAAGTGTGCCTTTAATTCGCCAAATCTCCTCGAGGATTTTACAGAAGTGATCTCAAATGAACGCACAGCAAAGAAAGAATAGAAAGGACGAGGGGCCAACCCATATATATTCAATGTTATTTTTTTTCTACACAAATACACTAGTAGTAGTAGTAATAGTAGTAGTAGTAGTAGTAGTAGTAGTAGTAGAGGCCCACAAATTTGTAATCTTCTCCTGCGTCTGTATTTATAATTCCCCTAGAAGTGTCCATCACAACGAGTCCCGGTTGTAAAACACAATAAAGTTGGTCTCTCGTATTTTAATTTTTTTTTGAAACCGTGATGGGGCGTTTAACTGGCCACTTAGTTTCGTGCAGTTAATTTGTGCTGTTGTTTTTGGGACCTGGGCCGTGCCTGACGTGGCCAATAGGGGGCGGTGTTGGTTGCTTGACAGCTGGTAGACGTCTGTGGTGTTGATCGTAGCTGTGGATCGGTTGAAAGTCGGGGTTTTTTGTCGTTTTTTTTTTGGTGAGTTTAGTTGCCGCCTCCACAGCACTGGCCGCTCCTGCCCTGTGGCGCGGTCTCCTGCAGGTCTACGCCGCCTCGAGCCCGCCCCGCCGCTCCAGCGCCCCCCTGTGGCTCGTTCTTAGGCAGCTTCTTGGCTGTGGGTGAAGCAGAGGGAGAAGTGTCAGACGTGTAGCAGCTGGTTTGTGGCAAAAAAAATGTGTACGGCACAGTTCATACACAAGGGGACAAATTGCTTAACAAAACAGAATAAAAACAATGACATCGCTTTGAAAAAATTGTCTAGTATAAAAGAACCAAATTACTTTATTGCACCAACTTCACTTCAGATTGGGTTGATTAAATTTAAAGCTGGGGTAACACACTTTTTCCTTGTACCAACAGAAAGTTTTGTAAAAGTTAAAATCTGTTATCAAATCCAGAACCATAAGGCTTGAATTTATTGCAAGGAAATATTAAGTAGATTTCTATGATGATTTAGTAGATTTAGCAGGTTGCAAGACAATTCATGGATGAGCATTTAAAATAATGTATGCTTGTCCAATTTGCAAATAATGTACTAGCAATAGCAGCTTTGTAGTCTCACATATAATGCATTTATATTTATCTGTTGTAAATGCAAGAGGCTATACAACATAAGTGAAGAGAATTGGCCAAAACTGCATTTAGTCCCATTGTTCTGAACATTGTAATGGCAATAAAGTTAAATCTAATCTAAAAGGGCTGTTACTCTGAGCTGACAATGTCCTTGTTTTTTCAAACTAGGTATTAGAAAGATAAATACACAGCGAAACTGTTCTTATGCCCTTTCACTTGACAGAGAGTTGAGCTAAACGTCCTCCATACAACCTCCGTACAACCCACTGGAACATGACGTACCGATGGCCATAAAAATCTCATTGACATTCACAGCAGTCTTGGCAGAAGTTTCCATGAAGAGCAAACTGTTGTCGTCGGCGTACGCTTGTGCTTCCTGAGAATTAAACCACACGGAATAAGAAATAAGTAACATCATTACAAAACGATTATTTTGAAGTGAGTGGAGAAGCCTGGACTGCTTGTGGCTCACCTGGAAGTCTACGTTTCTCTTTTGGGACAGATCTGCTTTGTTCCCGGCCAGAGCGATGACGATGTTGGGACTGGCTTGCCTCTGCAGCTCCTTCACCCAGTTCTTTGCACGCGTGAATGTATCCTGGAAAAAGAACATGCTTGAACTAAAGCTGAAACTGATTCAGATTAATTGATTGACTGCGGAACCTTCCGCAGTCAACCATTGGTTTTGTATTTCTTTATTCCGTCATTTTTTTTGACACGTTTCACAGCTTTCACATTTTCAACAATTTCCACAAGTTATACATCAAAACGTTCCACATGTTTGGGAGATTATTGCTATTACTTTTGGGACTTCAGCGATTTCCGGTTTTTCCGCAATCGGACAAAAATCTGCATTGAGAATTCTGCAATGCATTTTAATAGGCCCATGCATTTTAATAGGACTTCAGCTCTTTCAGACATTTCTACAGTTTCAATGATTCAACAGTTTCAAGGATTCAACAGTTTCAAGGATTTCAGCAGTTTCAAGATTTCAAGAGTTTCAAGGACTTCAACAGTTTCAAGGACTTCAGCAGTTTCAAGGACTTCAGCAGTTTCAAGGACTTCAACAGTTTCAAGGACTTCAACAGTTTCAAGGACTTCAGCAGTTTCAAGGACTTCAGCAGTTTCAAGGACTTCAGCAGTTTCAAGGACTTCAGTGTAATCATGCAACCTAATAGGGATTTTTCCATGTAAACCAGTATAATGCAACTTAATAGGGATTTTTCCATGTAAACCAGTATAAAGCAACTTAATAGGGATTTGTACATGTAAACCAGTATAATGCAACCTAATAGGGATTTTTCCATGTAAACCAGTATAATGCAACTTAATAGGGATTTTTCCATGTAAACCAGTATAATGCAACTTAATAGGGGTTTTTACATGTAAACCAGTATAATGCAACTTAATAGGGTTTTTTCCATGTAAACCAGTATAATGCAACTTAATAGGGTTTTTTCCATGTAAACCAGTACAATGCAACTTAATAGGGATTTGTCCATGTAAACCAGTATAATGCAACTTAATAGGGATTTTTCCATGTAAACCAGTATAATGCAACTTAATAGGGATTTTTCCATGTAAACCAGTATAATGCAACTTAATAGGGATTTTTCCATGTAAACCAGTATAATGCAACTTAATAGGGATTTTTCCATGTAAACCAGTATAATGCAACTTAATGGGGATTTTTCCATGTAAACCAGTATTATGCAACTTAATAGGGATTTTTCCATGTAAACCAGTATAATGCAACTTAATAGGGTTTTTCTCATGTAAACCAGTATAATGCAACTTAATAGGGTTTTTACATGTAAACCAGTATAATGGAACTTAATAGGGGTTTTTACATGTAAACCAGTATAATGCAACTTAATAAGGATTTTTACATGTAAACCACTATAATGTAACCTAATAGGGGTTTTTACATGTAAACCAGTATAATGCAACTTAATAGGGTTTTTTCATGTAAACCAGTATAATGCAACTTAATAGGGTTTTTTTTCATGTAAACCAGTATAATGCAACTTAATGGGGATTTTTCCATGTAAACCAGTATAATGCAACTTAATGGGGATTTTTCCATGTAAACCAGTATAATGCAACTTAATGGGGATTTTTCCATGTAAACCAGTATTATGCAACTTAATAGGGATTTTTCCATGTAAACCAGTATAATGCAACTTAATAGGGGTTTTTACATGTAAACCAGTATAATGCAACTTAATAGGGTTTTTTTTCATGTAAACCAGTATAATGCAACTTAATAGGGTTTTTTTCATGTAAACCAGTATAATGCAACTTAATGGAGATTTTTCCATGTAAACCAGTATTATGCAACTTAATAGGGATTTTTCCATGTAAACCAGTATAATGCAACTTAATAGGGTTTTTTTCATGTAAACCAGTATAATGCAACTTAATAGGGTTTTTTTTCATGTAAACCAGTATAATGCAACTTAATGGGGATTTTTCCATGTAAACCAGTATAATGCAACTTAATAGGGTTTTTTTTTCATGTAAACCAGTATAATGCAACTTAATGGGGATTTTTCCATGTAAACCAGTATAATGCAACTTAATAGGGTTTTTTTTTACATGTAAACCAGTATAATGGAACTTAATAGGGGTTTTTCCATGTAAACCAGTACAATGCAACTTAATAGGGATTTTTCCATGTAAACCAGTATAATGCAACTTAATAGGGTTTTTTTCATGTAAACCAGTATAATGCAACTTAATAGGGTTTTTTTCATGTAAACCAGTATAATGCAACTTAATGTGGATTTTTCCATGTAAACCAGTATAATGCAACTTAATAGGGATTTTTCCATGTAAACCAGTATAATGCAACTTAATAGGGATTTTTCCATGTAAACCAGTATAATGCAACTTAATAGGGATTTTTCCATGTAAACCAGTATAATGCAACTTAATAGGGTTTTTTCATGTAAACCAGTATAATGCAACTTAATAGGGATTTTTCCATGTAAACCAGTATAATGCAACTTAATAGGGGTTTTTACATGTAAACCAGTATAATGCAACTTAATAGGGGTTTTTCCATGTAAACCAGTATAATGCAACTTAATAGGGTTTTTTTCATGTAAACCAGTATAATGCAACTTAATGGGGATTTTTCCATGTAAACCAGTATTATGCAACTTAATAGGGATTTTTCCATGTAAACCAGTATAATGCAACTTAATAGGGTTTTTTTCATGTTAACCAGTATAATGCAACTTAATAGGGTTTTTTTCATGTAAACCAGTATAATGCAACTTAATAGGGTTTTTTCATGTATAATGCAACCTAATAGGTTGCATTATACCACCAGACCAAGACCCAAACGAAGACTCAGACCACCACCAGATAATGACCACAGACCAGGTTTCCTTAGTTACAGGAACCAAATTGTTTCAGCGGTGAGGGGATTTTTCAGTTTCAAGGACACTTTCAATACATTCAGTAGTTTCAAGGATTTCAGCTGTTTAAGAATTTAACCAGTTTCAAGGCTATCAGGAGGTTCAAGGATTTCAGGAGTTTCCACACTTTCAACAGTTTCCAGGTTTAAAAAAGTTTCAAGGATTTCAGGAGTTTCAATGTTTCAACAGTTTCAAGGATTTCAGGAGTTTAAAGGTTTCAACAATTTCAAGGACTTCAGGAGTTTCAAATATCTATCAAGTATTTTAACAGTTTCAAGGCTTTTTAAAGGATTTCAAGGATTTTTTTTAGCAGATTTCCACATTAGATCTGTTCCGCAGTCAATCGCAATGGCTTCAGCCATTGCAAGTTTCTAGTTTTATTTGCCATTTGCAGTAAAACAACATGGGAATACAATCGCGCCAAGTCCCCAGTGTGCACCAGGCAAGTACCAGGTAATAAGTAATTATCACTGTGAAATCGATCAACAAAAACAGTTCCAGATGATTAAAGGCGACAGCAGCTCAGTTGGTAGAGCATTGGTCTATGAGCCTATGAGGTTGTGGGTTCGAGCCCACCTCAAGACTTTCACCATTGACTCCCTCTGTCTGCTGTCGTTGTGTCCTTGGCAAGACACTTAACCTCTGGGAACACCAGCCACAGTGGGGCAGCTGCGGCTGTAAAGAGACAAACTGCCGTTGTGTCCTTAGGCAAGACACTTCACCCCCATTTTCTAGAATGAGTCTGGTGTGTGTGTGAATGGTTGGTCGTGGTGGGAGGGGCTAATGGCACAGACTGGTTGCCTCGCTTCTGTCAGTGTAACCCCAGGGCAGCTGTGGCTACAGTAGTAGTTTATCACTAGTTAGTAGTAGTTTATGGAGTGAATGAATAATGACACGTAAAGAGTCTTTGAGTGTCCAAAAAAGCGCTATATAAAACCGATGCATTATTATTTCAGTGCTCTGTTTGAACTGATAACAGCTTGTGGAAAGCAGATGTTGGCATTTATTGAGATGTCCTGCATCTCAGACGCACAGTGTGGAAGCCAAACCAACCCCAAAACAGCCCAAAAGACGCACAAGTGAGGAGGAAGAGAGGGAACTGAAGCGAAAAATTATAAAAATAGAAATCAAGCCCGGGTGAATATAGGCAGTTTACTTTATAGGTAATCGTTCATTTTGTTAGCAGTGCGTTGCTTTAGTACCATTTCATCAGTGATTGTTGTACAGCTTACTATGAAGTTGTGCTAATGCTAATGTTTGCACGTCAAAAGACCTGTAATTATTTTTTCCTGCAGAAAACAAACGGGATAAACAGCTGAGTCGACTTGTTACACGCCGGTCTGCAAGTTACAAGAGCAAAGGTCCAGAGCAGCTTAAACGAATTAAGCAATGATCAGCTGCAGAAAGAGCAGAGTCAGTGAGTGTTCGCCTCTCTGGCCTCGCCGCGGCTGCAGGACTAACAGAATAACAAGACACCTCTGGTCTCTTATCATTTCAGAAATCTAAAAATAAAATCTCTCAAAAATAGCCCCTTGAAGATTGCAGAAAGATCAAAGTTTTACGCCAAATTAGAGCTGAAAGAAAAGGTTGCAGTCTCTGGGGAAAATAGCCACGACACTCTTGAACAAAATACAGATGAATACCTTGGCCAGGGGGTAATGTAACCACCAGGGGTAGTTTGTCAGTTTGCAAGATATTTCTATATGGTAATGGGCAGTTTCTTATGTAGCAAAGTACTGACAAACAGATTCTTAATCTGTAAAGTACTTGAAAAAGGACATTTTATAATCTATTTGATTTTGGAGGTGATCCGCATCCTTGTCAGGAATGGGAGTGTGCCTCTTGGCGGAAGGCTGTGGTCTACGAGTGCTCTTCTTGTTTAAACCGGATTGTTCAATGAAGAAAATAGGTTTTTCAACTTGAAAACACATTCATCTTAATTGGCCCTGGAAGGAATCTTTTTAAGTAAGTAAGTAAGTAAGTAAGTAAGTAAGTAAGTTTTTATTTATATACCGCCTTTTCACTGCAGATCTGAGTCTCAAAGCGGTTTACAATTGTTAATTATGGGCATTTGTCTCTCACTCCACACAGAGATGGGAGCGGGGTCGCCAGTACAGGAGGCGCATGCCAGACCTATTGTACATATTTTTAGTGGTAGGGGAAACCGGAGTACCCGGAGGAAACCTACGCAGACACGGGGAGAACATGCAAACTCCACTCAGAAAGGCCCTGGCCCGACCGGGATTCGAACCCAGGACCTTCTTGCTGAGAGGCGAGTGTGCTATCCACTCAGCCACCGTGCCGCCCGGCACAATCTCTCAAGATTATTATCATTATTACATATCCATCCATCTGATACTTCTGTCTTTACTAGTCACTTTAACTGTTATCATAAACGCTTTACCTGTTATTATTATAGCTCCAGAGTTTATTTCATTTTACCATCTTATTATTTTAATTTTACTGTTTATTATCTTCAAAAATAGACCCTGTTTGATGTGTGCTCTTATTTCCTTCTTTCTCTCCTGAAATGTGCACAACAATGACACTTAAATTTCCTCACTGTGGGATGAATAAAGGAATATCTCATCTTAAAAACTATATTTTAGCAAACAAATATTGATTCATTGATTATTCTAACTCTTGTGCTACCCTCAGATCATTTTAAAGCAGAAGAAAAATACCATAAATTAGCCTTTAAAAGGGTCTAAAGATGATCCGGGGCTGGTCAAGTCGGGTAAAATCATCAACATTCAGCTCAAAAAATGTTTAAAGCCGTTTTCTTTACTGCAACCAGTGCTTAAACGCGGCTCCATCAAACGCGACGCCTTGATAATGCCAAAAGAGCACATACTGTGTTGGTGATGTCGTAGACCACGATGGCGGCCTGGGCTCCTCTGTAGTACATGGGCGCCAGGCTGTGGTAGCGCTCCTGTCCGGCCGTGTCCCAGATCTCAAACTTCACTGTTGTGTCGTCCAAACAAACCGTCTGTGTGAGGAAGGCCGCTGTGGAGAAAAACAGAAAATACTCTTGATTTTGGGATTTGTTTGGAATGACCGGCTGGCAAAGTAATTTGGAATAGAGATGGGAGGACACACAAAAACGTGCTCTTCTTACATGTGCAGAGATACAAGGAAGAAAGTCAGGAGGAAATGACTGTACTAAAGCTTGTACAGAATGTTATTACGTTTAGTTTTATCCAAGTATCTCACAATAGTTCCTCATTCTCAACAAAGTTCTTCTATCACTTGTTTGCATGTATTTAAAGTATGTCATATCTTTACATCATCTTTGTCAGACAGAAAAGCTGAGCATCAATCAGCTCTCAGCCAATAGTGAGTCACATGTGCAAAAGATAACACGTTTTCTTTTAAGATCAAGACGCCATGTGAAGGTCTGATTTGTTCACAGCGTTTTACTTTTATAAGACTCTTTCTGTTGGAACAAACACCACAAAATGTATCGTCTCTGAGACATGTTAGTGGCATGCGTTAGGAGCACAGGGACCGGTCTCCTGCTGGGACTCAGAGGGGCACAGGGACCGGTCTCCTGCTGGGACTCAGAGGGGCACAGGGACCGGTCTCCTGCTGGGACTCAGAGGGGCACAGGGACCGGTCTCCTGCTGGGACTCAGAGGGGCACAGGGACCGGTCTCCTGCTGGGACTCAGAGGGGCACAGGGATCGGTCTGCTGCTGGTGCCCAGAGTCAGGACAAAAAATGAGAAGGCAGCATTTCAGATTTGTGCAGCTAAACTCTGGAGCAGTTTTCCTGGAAATGTCTGACAATGTTCAAATCTACGTTAAAAACAGTTCTAGCTGTGCGTACAACTGAAAGAAAGAATTTTCTTTTTTTTTGTGTACAGCCTTAAATCTTCTTCAGCTGGTTACTTCGACACCTAGCCTTATATTTTTTTACTGGTTGTATATTTTTGACTCATTTGAGATGTGTGTGTGTGCTCGCGTGTGTGTATGTACCTAAGAATATGTGGTTTGCGGTGGGTCTGTTGGGTGGAGGGGTCATGGGATTGTGGGATTGTTTTTGACCAAATTGTAAATCACTTTATGAAGCGCTTTACATAAAAGAAATGAAGATACCCCAACTACAGATCAGAGAATCAAACAATTCAAACAAAGAAAATGCAATTATGACACATAAGAGCCATTGGTCCATAAGGAGCAGATGTCCAGAAATGTTAACGCCTTGTTTTCTTTCCTTGTTTTGTTTATCACTACGAGAGAGTTGCCTTGTGTATGAACTGTGCTATACTTCTTATTTTTTTGTAGCAAGGTACTCCATCAGTAATTACAGAGCTTCTAAACACTTCGAGATGTTGAAAATAACCCAAGAAAATTGCCAAACGTCTATAATGCATGGTTCTGTGTCAGTTCACGCTGATATCATGGCCGTATGCAACAGGCCTAAATGAATGGCAGGAAACCGTTGCGTATTTGCTGCTGACTCAGTCCTGGGTCACATGCCGAGGAACGGTGGCCTTACTCTGAGCAGAGTTTAAACATTAGTAATCTCTCACTGACCACAGAGCAGACCAGAGAGAGAGAGAGAAGTGCTGATGGCGTTTACGTTTACAGTGTGTAGGTGTGAAGACTCGTGTCGCCACACTCTGCAACGAGACAAAAGTCACCCACTGTGGTAATGTTTTGCTCGAGTAGAATTGTTTCTTCGAAGCCTTAAACCAAAGAAACAGTTTGACCTTTTTTAAACCATAGGAAATGTATTTCTATTATGGCCTCTCTTGTAAAAACACAGTAAAGCACACGTATCTGAATTACTGACACTTGCTATGGTCAATTTTGGACAAGTAATTAGGAAAGGCAAGCTTATTTGTATACAATCCTTCAGTTGTCTGCACAAAGCTAAACAGAACAGTTTTAACCTGGAACATTGACAGAGAAGAAGCCTGTCTCACAAGACTGTTCCAGATTTTAGATGCATAAATCGGATATGCTGCCTCCCCATGTTTAGTTCTGACTCTGGGCACTAGCAGGAGGCCAGCCCCTGTGCTCCTCAGTGTTCCAGCAGGAGGTCAGTCCCTGTGCTCCTCAGAGTGCAGGACTGTTCTTATGGCACCAACATTTTAATTAATGTTTCCCCGTTTCTCTAAAATGTTGCCTGGACTGGAATTGATTGTGGTCATTACACATTTACAGATATCTGAGGCTGAAACCAAACAGTCAATCACTGAGATAAAAGTCGACTACTTTAGTGATTGGATAATAATCAACTGGTATTTTCTACCTGAGGACAGAGAGGTGTCATCTCCAAATGTACAGTACAGACTAGGGCTGGGGAATAAAATCAAATGAGGCAATTAATCGGCTTTTAAAAAAAATAGAATTTTTGAAAAATGTGAAAGTCATGAAATCGAATGAGGGATATTGTGCGAGTTCCAGCAGCACATGAATTATACTTGCAATATCAGTACAGTCTGTACAAGACTTTTAGAATACGTATTGGGGGAAACAAATTAAAAATAGTTTTGAAACTTGAATATTGAGAAAAAGATCAAAAAAAGTCTTTTAAGTCTGTCTTTGGTGACTTTAATGAAAATTTATTTAAAATCGAAATCGTCCAAAGTAAAAAATAAAATCGAGATTTTACTTTTTTGCCATATCGCCTACTAAGCCCTTGTACATACCTCTGATGTTCTTTTAAGTGGCATATTGATATTCAACGGCCTTTACCTCCCAAAACAACAAGAAAAACTGGCAAAAATTGACAAGAAACTAAATATGAAAGGAAAGCACAGTTCATACACAACAAAACCTTGTCCTCTCTGGAGCAGCTTCACATTTCTACATTGACACAAGCCAAGAGACACAGGAGGTAATCCTATTGTTGCCTGCATTTCTTCCCATTTCATATTCACTCTTTATGAATTATGCTTTTGATGCAAAACTACATCCAAACAAGTGTAAGTCATGTCTTGTGTCCCGGCCTAATTACACTGAGAAGCTGTTATGCAATAAGTTATATAAGCACCATATTCACACAAGGGTAAGGAGCTTGCTGGTTTGTGAGACGTCAGGTGATCGTGACACCAAACGGGTTGGGCCACTCCTCTGCCTCAAGGCAAAGATTAACAAGTGACAGTGAGCAGACACAAAAACCTGCGGAAGACCAAGTTTAAAGTAAAAAATGTTTCCAACTTCTGTTTTGACAGTTGAGTACGCAGTTGACTCCATTGTCAATCCCAATACATTCAAATCAGGGATAATTACACTGCAGCCTTTGGCAGATTGCAATTGGAAAGACAATAGAATTTGGGCTGTAGCAATACACAACTCAAATGATTCAATTCATTCTGACGCACAAAAATATGTCTTTATCTCTCACTGTCCGAGATTTGTATAGTTGAGAACCTACATTATATCACTTTGTGTTCTATGGTCCGTCCTCACCCACACTATTGGTGCTGCTCCCACCAATCAGCACAATAGCAGTTTGAGGAGGATTACCTTGGATTTAGCAAAGCAAACTTTAGAGCATGTAAAAAATGTAAACATATTTGTAGTGAAAATAGAGAATACTCCCTTCTAAGCCGCACCTCTATGAAACCTCTAGGTCAGTGTCTCCCAAAGTGGGGTCCGCAGCCCGAGGGTATCGCAGGGGGGCTGCGAGAGGTCATAACAAAAAATATTTGTTTTCATTATTTGACTTTAATAATCAAACTAATAATTTTTGTATTACAAAATAGGGTGCGTCATTTACATGTTTGTAGCAGAGGCTATTTCCCCCAAATAAAATAACGAGAAGAGCCTATTTTTAACGTCTTTTTGGTTATTATTTTTGGGGGCCGCGCAGATCCGTCAGATTGTTAAGGGGGCCGCAGTGTTACTGACTTTGGCTGCTCTAGGTGGTGTCAGCTGCCTGCCTGTCTCTCTCCGTGCGTGTCTGTCTGTTCGTGTGTGTCTGTGTGCGTGTGTGTCTGTCCGCGCATGTGTGTGTCCTCACCTCCGATGGTGCTCTCCTGGAACTCATGGAACTGGCCTTTGACGAAGCGCAGCACCAGGCTGGACTTGCCCACGGCCGACTCTCCCAGAAGCACCAACTTGAACTGGCAGATTTTGTTGCCCGGAGCGGCGCCGTTGGTCCGTGTGGCGCCCCCTCGCCCTGCCATCGCGCTGTGAGAGGAGGAGGAGGAGGTGAGGAAGGAGGAGGAGGAGGAGAGAAGGACTTGGGGGACTCCTTTTGGACAGGGCACAGGGGGTACGGCTCAGGTCGGGCAGATGGTCGGGCCGCTTGAAGACACCTCACTGATGGGAACTGGAAAACAACAAAAAAACATGGAAGACATTCAAACTAGAGTTGAGAAAAAAGTTCAGTATTGCAAAATGTTATAGTTGTATGTATGTTTTTGCGCATTTATTCAATAGGAAGTTTCAAATGACAATCATCGCTACCGGTTCTACACAACACCTTTTTGCACTACCCAAATTATTAACAGACTGCTCAGAACAGACTTCAGAAATCTAGTGGATGTACTACCCACTAGATTTCTGAAGTCTGTTCTGAGCAGTCTGTTACCTTCACTCACACAGATAGTAAACATGTCCCTTCATTCTGGAATATTCCCAAAGGCCCTGAAAACTGCAGTCATCAGGCCCCTGCTAAAAAAGAGCAGTCTCGATGCTACGGTACTTAACAACTATCGTCGCATCTCAAATCTGCCATTTATGGGGAAAGTCCTTGAGAAAGTTGTCTACCTACAGCTTACTAGATTTCTTATAATCAACAACTCATTTGATATGTTTCAGTCCGGCTTTAGACCCCACCACAGCACTGAGACTGCTCTTGTCAAGGTTACAAACGATATCCGGCTGAACACTGACGCAGGCAAAGTCTCAATCTTAATCTTGTTAGATCTAAGTGCTGCCTTTGACACCGTCGACCATGAGATCCTCTTACAGAGACTAGAGGACTGGGTTGGCGTCACTGGCACCGCCCTAAGTTGGTTTAGGTCTTACCTTGAAGACAGGAAGTACTTTGTGGAGATTGGAAACTGTGTCTCAGATCATATGGCCCTGACCTGTGGAGTCCCACAGGGGTCGATCCTGGGACCTCTTCTGTTCAATCTCTACATGCTGCCGTTAGGTCAGTTAATACGCAGAAACGAAGTGTCCTATCATAACTATGCAGACGACACTCAGATCTATGTCTCACTGACTGCAGGAGAACATGGACCAGTGGACTCACTCCTTCACTGTATCCAACAGATCAGTGAGTGGATGCAAAACAACTTCCTTCAGCTAAACGCAGACAAAACTGAAATAATTGTCTTTGGTCCCCAGAAACAAAGAGAGAGCGTCATCTGTCACCTACAGTCTCTCTCCCTAAAACCTTCAAACAAGGTCAGAAATCTAGGGGTAATACTGGACTCAGACTTAAATTTTAATAGCCACATCAAATCAGTAACATCAGCAGCTTTTTACCATCTAAAAAACATTGCCAGGATCAAAAACATAGTGTCTAAAGCAGACCTGGAGATTCTTATCCATGCATTTGTCTCCAGTAGGTTAGACTACTGCAATGGCCTGCTCACAGGTCTGTCCAAACAGGCTGTAAAACAGCTGCAGTACATTCAAAATGCAGCAGCTCGAGTCCTGACTAGAACCAGGAAGTACGACCACATTAGTCCAGTCCTCAGGTCTCTGCACTGGCTTCCTGTGGCTCAGAGAATAGACTTTAAAACAGCTCTGCTTGTGTACAAGTCTCTCCATAACCTCGCACCAAAATATATTAGTGACATGTTAGTCCCATATGAACCAGCCCGGACTCTGAGGAGCACTGGGACTGGACTCCTGTTAGTGCCCAGAGTCAGAACTAAACATGGGGAGGCTGCTTTTCAGATTCATGCTGCTAAAATCTGGAACAATCTTCCTGAAGATGTGAGACAGGCCTCCTCTCTGACAATGTTTAAAACCAGGTTAAAGACAGTTCTGTTTAACTGTGCATACAACTGAGGGATTTTATATTTTCATCTTTCTTTTTAATGTTCTGTGATAATTTATGATTTTAATGCTTTCTTGTTTTGTTCAGCACTTTGAATTGCCTTGTGTATGAATTGTGCTATATAAATAAACTTGCCTTGCCATATTTTCACACTGCCGTAATAACAAATGTGACAAAAGTTCAGCATTCATATTCCTCAAATTTTGTAATACCGTTTAACAATATGATGGGCATGAATTGAAATATATCGCAGAATCAAATTGCAAAACTTTCTGCTTCCCAATCTGTTGCGTTGTGCAATAATCATTAAGTGTGGCCCAAATATTGCAATCCTGATTGAATTGTCCCATTTCCCACCCCCTAGTTCAAACATTAGTAATATAAATGGAACCAAATTGAGTGCTATATTCAGGTCAAGGCTAAAGAATACATTTAACAAACAAGGTGGAGTGGGAGGAGTTTGCATTGTCAATGTTCTTCCTCTCATTGGATTTTTTTTTCTCTGTCCGTTTTGTCTCCGTCATTACTGTTATTTTGCCATTTTCACCATCTCGCTGCTGATCCCTTTCCGAAGAAGAGCACACAAGTATGAAACACACAAACAAGAAATTAGAAAAATAATATGGTTTTATACCCAGGGTTCTGAGCTACAGGGCCATAAATCTGGAATTTCTCCCATGTGGGCGGGGCGCTGGTTAAAAACTAAAATATTTTCAGTATATTTTTCCTCCTCGAGTTTTTTCCGATCAATTGCCCTCTTTTCTAATCATAAACTGTCAAAACTGGTCATTTTAGGTCATCATGTCATGGTCATCATGTCATGGTTAGGTCATCATGTCATGGTAATTTGAATATCCCAACTCTGTAAAGACACATCTGTTTAACTTTGTGGTCCAGTGTCAAATATTACTTTTGCTGAATCTTCTTGTTTTATATTATACTAAGGTTCCAAATGTTGCGAAAAGTTACATTTGCTGCAGGGTCATTATTGATCCAGTTTCTTTGTTTTTAAAATGAAATTCTAAATACGAGTAAACATTTCTTATATATATCTTCTTTTTCCCATACGACTGTTGTACCTAGGGATTGTGTAATAACCCAATATAAAATAGTTATAATAATAATAATACTAATAATACAACAGATCTGAAAACCTCACAGCGTCATTTCCTGTACGTCCCTTTTCTGTTGGATCCGACTAAACTGCTGATGACGCACAAATTTCGGTGTTGACATAAAACAGGCCGAATAAGAGCTGTGCCTCAAAGACTTCTCTGCTGGAACAATAAACACACACGGAAAGCATCTGAGAACGCCCTGCTTGAAACAGACACAAACAAAGTGGGACGTCCGATAATTCAAGATAAAGTTACACAGAAATGTGGCAGTTTGTCCACAGATCATGAGTATAAAAATGATCTCAGCAACTTTTCTGAGAATGCGTTTGTGAGAGTGTTTGTAAAGGTAATGAAATGAGACACAGCAGCAAATGACACAAATGAGACACAACGTGGTCACTTTGATGGAACGTTACATAAAATTGGCCAAATTTTTGAGCGGGAGCTGGAGCCCAATAGGCATTTATGTCGTCCAACCCCTTTTCAAACAGCCCTTCTGTATCTTAGATAGATACTTTATTGATCCCATCCATCCATCCATTTTCTACCCTTTAATCCATTTCTGGGTCAGGGGGGTGACAGTCAGAGATGCCACCCAAGTCTCATAGCACCAGCCCCTCACTGACCCTCTGCAGGTGGTGAGTCCGCAGGAGGACGGCTGCTCGCTGAGCGGCCTTGATCTTACAGTGGGGGCTTTTTGGGCAAAGTGGGGTTAAGTGTCTTGCCCAAGGACACAACAACAGCAGTCATCAGTGGGAGTCGGTGGAGAAGGTGTAGAGGTGGGAATTGAACCCACGACCTTCAGGCCTGAAGGCCAATGCTCTACCAACTGAGCTACTGTCGCCCTTTTTCAGGTGTCCAGTAGCAGCGGAAACACATGGATTCATACAAAAAAAACAAATAAATTGATTGATTGATAAAAATTGCTAACTGGTATCAAAATGCAGCAGCACTTCAGGTCACAGCAGCAGCGGTGGTGAAGCCGCTTGGTTCGGACCATTTTCTCTGCTTATCAAAAAGTTAGCATTTCTCCAGTAGATTTTCGCCTGATCCGCTTGGTTCAGACCATGAATCCTCTCTGCTCTGGACCATTGCAAAACCATGAACACTACTGTAAAAACATCTCAGGTAGAAAAAAAAATTTAAAGCATAAAACAACTGTTTCAGAGACACTTAGGAATTGCTGCCGCTTCCAGTACATTCAAAAGTAAAAACTAAATTGTGTTTGTTTGATGAAAATTATAAGTTGTTAGTAAGTAAGTAATGTTTATTTCCAGACCAAGCTCACCCAAAGCTCTTTAAAATGAAGAAATCAGTTATATTTCCATTCACACACGGTGATGACGGAAAAGAGATGCTGAACACACTGGGGCATCAAACCAACCGACATCCTTCATTCAGTCTCATTACATTCATACCTAGAGTTTTTAGTGGTGGGGGAAACTGGAGCACCTGGAGGAAACCTACGCAAGCACGGGAAGAACATGTAAACTCCACTTTTATGTATTCCAACCGGGATTCAAACCCAGGACCATCTGACCAAGAAGTGAGAGTGCTATCCACTCAGCCATCATGCAGCCCACTACTAACTAATGACTATACTTCCAAGTACCACCACTACATCAGTTAGAAAGGATTTACCTGTAACATATGCTTTGCCTAAGGGTATTTTAGCTTGTCAAACACGTTTTTTTCAATATTGTGTGTGAAATTGGGTGAATAGAATCCCCAAAAAAATCAGCCAGAGTACCTGCTCCAAATAAATCCATTGGTCCCTGTAACTTTACAAACGAATCAATAATATCTTGAATCAGACTAAAGTGTGGTGAACCCAGAACAATAAAATTACGTTGAAACAGGTTGAGGTCAGATCATTATTTATATGTAAACAAAGCGGTCACTTCTATAGAGAAAAGAGAGAAATCTTCCCCGAGAGACACAGAAGACACAAGTTAAACTCTAAGACCAATTGTTGAAAAGAGTTTACAGCCCGTTTGAGATCCATTAGTTGCACTTGGTCAGAGCGACAGGAAACGCGACTCAGCAAAAAGGAGGAAGTAAAAGATTGCAGAAGAAATCCAAGTGCTGAGGCTGTCGAAAAGCCTACAAGGGAGTGATTGTGAGGGAGTTCAAGAGTGTTAGGATCTGAATGATGGCCTGTAGAGTTTAAAGAGACTGCATGTTTAAAACCTCAAT